TTGAAGAGCGTCAATAGAAAATGATTAATGTACTTGAAATAGAAGCATAAAATCGCTATTATTTCGAGACTATAATGCCAATGCGAACTAATTTAGTATAATCACAGACCGGACTAGATCAATGTATGAATTGGTATGACTTTATTTACATGCACAAACATTGAATTTGTTTAATAAAGCCCAAAAATGACATCAATCATCGGTTTTGATCAACGAATGAAGGGGTGGCGATGGTGGTTTAATTTGCGGCTGTCCCTACTTTAAATGCACAGCGCTGAATGAAAAATGTCATTTGCATATACACATATGATTTGCTAAATATATACTGCGGCTGGCTTTTCTATAAATTGATTAATGATTCTAAATGAATTTTGACGGATGTGCTCGATATTTTTTTAACGATGATAATTCAGATATGCACTGTTCAATGTTCACTGCTACCCAACATAGCCGCCTACAGATATCGCCAACGGACTGCCTACGAATCCAGAGGGAGATCGAGAGAAGAAGAGAGTGCAAAATGTATTTATTAATGCAAACTGTTGAACTTAATTACATCAATATTATCGTATAATTACGGAGTTGGTTTTTTTTGTTCTAATATGATGGAGTTTTTCTTGTTCACGCACTTGCGTCAATATCAATGACGTGCCTCAACTAAATACTCTTTCTATTTTCATTCCACTAAATGACTAAATTAATACTTTTACGCTTAATTTCGTTGTGGTACTTTGTATTTATTAAGGTTTTGTTTTTGTTCGACAATCAGCGGTCTATAACACATATGTTAATGTAACATTATATATAGACACCGTTGACGCCACCACCGTATATTGTACAAAACGCAATCCATAATGGAAAAACCAATTAACCGAATTTAGTTTTATCTTGGTTCGAAATCACATTGTGGTTTGTTCTTTGTTTTGCGGTGCATGAGTATATTTGAGTAATTTGTAGTGAAGATTTTGTGGGTATAATCTTATGGTAAAAGACTAAAATCAATTTCATCGTCTCTGCGGCATTGAAAGTGAAAAAGAGGAAAAGTTTTTTGATAAGTGTCTGCCCAAAGACCGTTTTTCTTCATTTTTGAATATACGTAATAAAAGCCGGATTGCGGCACCATAAACACCAGTTTAAACCGCAAATATATAATGCACAGCTGCTTCCACAGAACTTTCTTCCTTTATGCTCTCTCTCTCTCTCTCTCCCTCTCCCCGTCAATGTATACATTCTTGAATTTCGTATAAAATGAGTGAAAAATATGCACAAAAAATTATGAGGAGAAAAGAATAAAAAAGATTTTTTTCACGCTTTATGGACTGGTTTCTGGTTCATAGTGATGCGAAAAATGGATATCTTCTTGAGCGGATAGCGAATTTGCACAGCTCAACACTTAAATGGCAATCGGGTTGTGATGTGGTAAAGGCAATAGAAGCACAGCAAAAAAGGGTGTAACTTCTTTTTCTCCGTCACCGTTGTCTTGAATGTCATTTTTATTGCACAATGCGAGAATGTATGCCTGGAAAATGGTTAAAAATGTCGAAAGAATCACAGTGCAAAATAAAAACCAAAGTGATACGGTTGCAATATACTACACGGTAATTTTCAAATAAACTAAAAAAACTGTATGTTAGAATATTTATCTATGCATGGAATGGAAACAATTTCGAAAAGCATGTAGCTTATTTGATGAATTCACGCAATTCCAGTGAACGCACATTACCTTTGTAATCGACATCTAAAAAAACGTGTCTATCGCCCTTGTGTATGGTTTGTTTACAGTTTGATTGGCATTCATTTCGTATCAACTCTTCTGAAGTGCTTTTGAGACTCACATTCACACACACACCCTTTTTTATATATATGTTCACCTTCACATTGTAAATTTATATATCCGCGTACAATACAACAACCAAAACGGTCGTGCGAATATATTCTCGTCATCGTCGTAAACAATTTAAGCCTCAGTGATGTATATTCATTTTTTCTCTCCTTTGAGACGCTCTATATCGCCAAACACAAGGGTATACGCATAAAAACACAAAGACGAAAGAGGGAATAAATAGCATGGCTGCATTCTCTTCTTTCTTACTGCTAGTTCTTCGTTTGTCAATCATATGACCGACGCATGGAGTAAATAGAAGCGAAGAGCTTTTATCCATTTTGTTTCGTTGCCTTTTTTAAACGACAATTTATTTTTATGTTTACAAATGAATTTTGTGTTCGCTTCCCTTTGGCTGTTGCAAAAAATGTCGTGTGCGTGTTTGTTTTTGCCATTTTTTTCTTTGTTTTTCTCACCGAAGGGATGCTTTTTCTACTCATCATCGTATGTATGAGTATATATTTGATTCGCTTTCAACGAAATTTTCTTCATTTTATTTGTTGTACGTTCTACTCAAGGCTGCATCTTTTTCATCGAATAATTCACGTTGAAAAATGGTAATGATGCCAGTGGTTTGTTTTGACTATGGAATCTAAACAACGAGTTTTACCGATATATTGAAAATGCAGAGAATGTGAACGAGATTCGTCCATGGGAACGAGAATATCGCATTTACGTGTTGAGCCGTTGAATTTATTCGTTATGTTTTTCTTAAAAGATGATGATGACAACGACAAAGCATTCCATGTAAAAAAAAAATTGTCGTTAAAATTTTCTTTTATTCCTTCTATACATTTTTCCTGTTCGGTTTTTGTTGATTTGGTTAGCTTTTGTGTACGGAAAAGCTTCGTGAATGTAAGCTAGACTCATAAATATTGTAAATAATGTAAATTTTCCAACGTGCACCAAAATTGCCATTGTCTTCATTTTTTCACTCCCTTTTTAAGTTTACTCCTTGAGAGAGCGAGAAAAGAAACATAAGATATTTTTATTGAGCTCATGGCTAGATATGGTTGAAACGGTAGATAAGGCACGCGCTGTGTTGTTTTTTTTTTACACTCCCATTATTACAAGGCAATTGCGTTCTTTTGTGCGAAAGATGATCGAATCAAGTACATAAATCGAATAAATGATTCATTTTTGCATTAAACACACAATATATGGCTCATACACACAGAGGGAGGGGGGGTGAGAGGGAGATAATTTCAAGGAAAAGCGTAAATTAAGTTATTATTGAAAATCTATAAATCATCTTTCTTCCACAGTTAACGTTCACTAACGTCAACATGTAAATCAGCCTGGATGTTTGCCAAATAATAAAGCTGTTGAGCTTGGATTCAAATAAGATTTTATAATGTTGTATATTTAAATTAGAATCCATATTTCAATAGGCTCAACGATGTATAATAAGCCCGATGATTGCATACGGTTTCTTTTTTGTTCCGTTGCTATTTTTATTTTTTCGCCTAATTTTACCCGTTTTACGTAAAACGATGTTGCGTGCATACGATCCGTTTTATGCGAAAGCAGAAAACGAGTATTTTGTTTTGTTGTTCAAACCGAAACAAATTTTCACATAAAACATGCTACGCGGTTGAATTCAATTTTTATGCATTTTTTTTTCTTGTCGGTTGATTATCTCTTTTATTGGATCTTTTACTATCAATACGACAGCGGCTCTTTTCTTTTGATTCCATTTGTATGCATTCGTTTGATGGAAAAATCCAATCAGTGAGTGATATTTATGTATTTGCGCCTTCAAATGTGCGTGTCCGCCAGGTTGGTATTGAAGCAATTTTGATTAAAAAAAACACACACACAAACACAAAAGTAAGAACGAAAGCGAGAAAAAAAGACACGAAAAATTTCCAATCTCGTTTAGGTGTGGTGAGCTTCGGGTTTGTTTTCGGGGTGTTCTTGTATTCATTTTCATTTTTATTGTTTGACGACACACTCGCACCGTCGCTATCACTCTGATACAATACCTTTTTGGTCTTTTATTGTTGTCGTCGTTCGATTATTTGTCAAAAAAAAAAAAATAGAAAACCGAATACAAAAAGTACTGTTCCATTTTGAAGAGAGTTTTATCGTGTCTATGTGTAAAGTGGCTTTAATGCTCAAAATTTGTTTAACCGAATTATCTTTGATCTTTCAGAGCTGATGGGTGTGAAATGCCATACTTTTGTGTTGTTTAACAAGCCCATTGTTACCATCACCAATGGTTACAACATCAATTTGTCCTTTTTTCTTCATTGAATGAATTTTCTTCCACTGAATATGGCACTACTGCTGAAAATACGGCACAAATAAATCGCCTCTTGAAATGAGAGGCGAAAAATAAAACTGAAGTGAAAGTAGATAAAAAATTGAGCTATTGACATTTGATTATACTAATTTATTTTATTGGGTTACCGTAAATTAGAAAATAACATTATCTACTGAATTTTCGCTTTAAAACGATATATACTGTTGCGACATTGATTCGATCTTTAGGCATGACACAAAATTGGATTGAACACACTTATTGCAATAATAATTAACAAAATGGAAATGACATATTTATTGGTTTGCAGACCGAAACAATTGCGGTATTTAAACGATTTCTCTCTCGGAACGAAATGACCGACTATCCTCAAGCAGCTAAAATATTTATCGATTTGTTAGTAACCAAATCCACACTTGATACGTCGTACTCGAGCGCATTTTCGAAATTATTGATTAAACACACATACGAATACCGTATATTTAACCAATCAAAAAAAAAACCAGATTCAGCCATCAATTCAACATTTCATTCCCTCTTCACGATATTGCTGGGTGTATTATATCGGGGAGCAACAAGTTCTCGTTTTTCTCATTCTCTGATTCTTCGTTTGCTTGATAAACGATTCATGAGTCAAATGTTATAAACACGTAATTTATTCGGAAATGTGGATAAAGTACAACAAAAAAAAAACACCAACCAGAACAACATAAATCGTCGCCGAGAATAGAGTACACCAAACATCAACGAAAGCGCTGCCATTCAAAAATAAACCGTCTGTCCTCCTTCGTTTTAATAAAATGTCAAATAACTTTGAAAGAAAAAAAAAAAGCATGAAGAAAATATTCAACTTACGAATGGAATGGAAAACAGTTGCTAACACGAAAATGTATTGTATCCAATTTGTATCCATCTTTTGGTTTTGTTTTGAATGGTGATCGGTTGTGTGATGTGTTGTGTGAGCTTATTCTCACCGTCTTCGTCTATTTTTGAATTGGCTTGATTTTCGAAAGTTATGTCTTAAATTAGAATAATTTTTAACGATTTTTCCGCACACCACAGCTCATTCCTTCCCATGGACATTTTAACGATGTCGATGTAATACCGTTGACTTTTCTGTGCGTCTATAAATATCGCTCATATTTGCACACTTTGCAAAAAATTCACATCGAATTTCACAGTTCATTTAAAATTTATAAAACAACACGGTATTTTTGGAATGCAATCAATACTGAAATGAACACTCACACTCATTCATTCGCATACACAATTTGCGATTCGATGCAGATCACACATCGATAATGCCAGTAATCATAAGTTTTTCCCAGCCCCAAATGATTTCAGATGACTGAATTCATGCACAAATTATTTGCCATTTATAATGTGCAATCAAGTTGCAAACGATTTTATGATATTTAGCGTGAAAAAGAGGATTTATATTTTGTATTATTTCCATACGGAAATTATGTGTGGCTGAAATGCCTGTTGCTATTAAATCCTATTATATGAGCTGTTTTTTTTTGTGATTTACACATGAAATTCACACGGAAAATTTACAATCACACACACACTGGTTTTACCACCACAAATACACATTTTATGCGTTTTACTTTTTTTGCTGCGAAAAAAATTTCAATAACTCAAATCGAATTTTTATTAAAAACCAAAATAAATACGCAGGTATTTTCAATTTGGAATTATTTTTACCGATAAAAGGTAAAAAGCGTTTATTTATTCATTTTTTCTTCGTCGAAAGTGCGTTTATCGGGTTACTAATAAACCATGACCGTTAAACTTAACATTACTTTTCGTTTGCCCTTTAGTGAATTTCAGTCACATTTGCATTTTAACACCAACTGCACCGACGAAATTGAAAAATAATTGTTAATTACACTGCAATTGTGAATTGAACACAACCGTTTTTTTTTCGGTGTACTATTTCGTTTATTCCATTTTCTTAACAAAACTTTACTTTCATTCTTAGTTTATAATGTGACGGAAATTATGGAATTGAATTTCACTTTGTACAGCGAACGAAATGAATTCGTTCCGGAATTCAAATGGCTTAAAAAACTGACGATTGTTCTAGCAATTCTTGAATTGTGGTGTGGCTACTGGAATGATTTTGTTCGCGCGGAACCGAGCGAGAATAACACATAAATGTGTGTTACTTGGTACTCCGTTTAGCCCAGACTGACTATGCCACTTGATATTCAAACAAACAAGAGCCTCAAACACACAACACATTTTCGATTACTCAATTTTTATCAGCCAACACTCGCACAAATACAAAAGCTTACACAGCACACCAATTCATCCGCCCCTGCAGTCATATTTTATTCTGCCAAAGCATAAGGACATGCAACAGTATAAGCACACACACACTCTCACACACACACAAACACCGTTGGAGTACATGCCACCAAGCACTGTTGAATTTTCAGGGGCAAAAAGGCTCTGCTCGATAAACGCAAAACGTATGGGTGTACAACGTGAGCAAAGCTAATGCTATTTACGTTAAGTTTACAGTTTTTGTTGTCAACGATTTGAATCATATGATTGGAGAAATGTGAGTAAAAAACTTTCCTCAACATTTTGAGTGAATTGTTCACTTTGAGATTCTGCGCATTAAAGTATTTTTTGAATCGTTGGTTTACTCGAAATGCTCGGAACTGTGTGCAAACTTGTTTTTTAGTGAAATAATTTCCTAACATGTGTGAAAATCACTTATCACCTGTTTATGTTATTTTCTTCATTGAAAATTAATGAGCGTCGTTTGGTATAACATTGCATCGATTGTGTAGATTCAAAACATGATTTCGATCTCGTGTTCTGCATTTTAAATGTCATCACAATGTTTCATTAGTTTTGGCTAAAATTATTTGACATATATATTTGAATCCATGCGTCAAAGTTGACATTTGGCTACTAATCAACATTTCAATATGAGTCAAATCAATTTATTTTTCGTTCTTTGCTGGGAAAAAAACATTAATTTTTATTTAAAGAAAAATTAGGTCGATGAAAATCATCGTACAAACAAAAAATTAAAATGAGTGGCAGACTTTTTAATTTTCTATTCTATTTAGATTTGCGTTGATTGAGATTCATCCAGTTTTGTTAGCCGTCGCTTATGTTCAATTTGTATTTTATGCTGATGCCTGGTGTGCATCTGTGGTTACCATTGACACTGCATCAGAGACTTTTTCTTCCTTCTCGACGATAGACAAAAATGGCAATCGCTTTTGAAGCTCGATTCTACATTTGGAGTTTAATGAAATCGCCTTTGAAATGGAACACGAAAATATTTTGCATATGACTCACCTGTATCGTGGATGACTGATGGCGTAGACATATGGATCGAGACATGCAACAAATTTGCACGCACATGCTGGTATCATGGTCACACCAGGAGTCAAGAGAGCCTAATTTTCAGATGAGATTTTTTTTTAATATCTGACTTTTTGGAGAATTTCGGGTGAGTAATTGCTACTTAAGTGAAAAAAAGTGTCCATGTCCGGAAAAAGTGCCCATACGTACGAAAAATGGTTCGAAAAAACTTTATTCGAACAAAAAATTTGTTAGATCAAACTTTTGTCAGAACCATTTTTTCGGATGGAAAATCTTTGTTTTCAGTTTTTGTTATAGTCTTTTTTCTGGCATTGTATTGTTGGTTCTACAAAAAAGAAATACAAACCCGATTTCCAAAGCTACCGATAAGTGCCATAGTTCCGTATGGTGTCCATGCTAGAAATGATTTGAATATTACATATCAAAATGCAAAAAAATCCTAAAATTTATTACATGCAACAAACAAAAAGCAAATTGTAATTGCTGCTTTGGCGATGCGAACTTCGGCTGTTGTATTTCCGCCGCCTTTTTGATTTGATCGAAGCGAATCGACGTTCATTTTCTTGGCTTGAGCTCTTAATGTTTTTTCATGTTGAAAAACGTGATTAACAATTTGACTATAATAATAAATGATCAACGTCATTGGGATGCAGTAGCTGAATGTGAAGAGAACGGCGACGAAAAGTCGATTATCAAATGAATCCGTCAAGTAATCAAATGTGCACGATGTCAAGTAACCCTCTGTGAATAATAATAATATATTTCGTTAATATTTGTGTCACTACACAAATTCGCTCCAAAATATAAAACAACTTGCCCGGAACGAAGCGGCCCCATACTTGGAAATACGGAAATAAGGCCCATGGCACTGTATAGCACCATATAAGAATCACAATGAAAATGGCTTTAGTCATCGTTAATTTTCCCTCCAGAGGATTAGCGATAACATGATATCTGCAATATTAGATAGATTGAATTTGATTTGATTTTGGACATCAGCATCAATTCATTCTGCGTCGTCAATAAAACTTTATGAAATTAAGTAACCTGTCGTATGCGATGAATGCATTCGTTATCGCCGCACCGATGCCTGAAAAAGCACCTTTGGATAGATAAAGACATTTGAATTTTATAATCAATTCGAACATGTGATTTGTATGAAAGAGCCAATTTAAACTATCAAAACTGTGTCAGTCTCTCTTGAACAGGTAAAGACACCTGCTGCACTTTTAATCTGGCCATTTTCGACAAAAGCACGGGTACAATAAACGAATTTCCTCCAAACAAATGAACACTTTTACATTTTTTTTTACATTGAAAATGAAGATATTTTTACGTACCCATTATGGAAAACACTTGGCAACCTGCATGTCCAAGGGTATATCCGTGTGTGAATGAATTGTAAATGAAAATTGGTGTCTTTAACATCATCACCTGAAATCAGACGAAAAGTGATTAAAAGTGTATCCAAAACCCACACTTGTCGATACACTTTTATTGATATCAACGTATACTCACAAAATCACAAAGTGCCAAATTCACAACAAATATATTTGATGGCGTTCGTAACGATTTTGCACTAAAATTGAGTGAAAAATATGCCTAATTGGTCGAATGATTGATTTATATCGTAAGACAGAGGTATACATACGATGTGAAAATCCATAACACCAAACCGTTCCCGAGGAGTGCAACAATCGTGAAGGCTATATAAAGAGTGCCCAATAAATAATGAATTGAAACGTTTGGTTCATCATAACTTAGCCAATGATCTGGGATTGTTGCTAGTTCATCAGGCGGTATATTCCAACCTAGTTTTCGTACCGTTGGCTCGCCAATCCTTTGGGAATTAAAATGATTCGATCCACATTTTTTTCATTAAAAAATTACTGACGATTTCACCACCTTACCTGGCTTCCGGTCGTAAAGCTGTTAAATTGTACACTGGATCCCAGATATTATCCATGTTTTCAAATGATTTAAATTAATAAAACCAACCACTTTCTGACTAATTTAAAAATATTTCGATTTGCCACCATTAAAATCAACAAAAAAAAATATTTCCAATTCGCAACCGATAAGAGAAAAGAAACTGATAAAATTTATGTATACTTTGAAGTGGTGTCGACTCTCATATGGCCATCGAACTATCTGAAATCACTTTGAACAGCGGCCGAATCGCTCCTTTTATATGTTGATGTCAATCGAAATTAAAAATTTAATTGGATTTACTCGTGCCAAAATAGAACATGCTTCGCTTGCATTATAGATATAGATTTACTACGAGAATTTCAGTGGTTTTCTGTTTGTATGGTCACATCAAACCATACGCATACATCGAAACTTGAATACCGCATAAATGTATTACATCGTTAAATAAATGTACCACCAAAATAGACATACGTACGCCATACTGACATATATGGTGATTTAATTGAAATGCAGAAATCAATACAATGATAATTCAATTAATTACAACATTTTGATTCGTCGACGGCTCTCCTCGTGATACAATAATACAATTACGTTTAATTCCTACGTTCTTCATTGTAGAAAATGGAAACATTAACAAGGTGCCGGAAAACAAATCTGTTGAACTTATGTACTTATCGTATGTATTTAATCTGAAATTGTATCATTTTGAAATGGTTTGCCCATTGTTAACCTTAAAAAACCATGAAAAATTGGATTGTGTCATGAAAATATATCGAGATCGCAGGTGTATTTCTTTCAATTTTTTTCGACAGTAAATCGATGGGAAAAAAGTCATTTATTTGGGTCATTTGCCATGTTTTCGGTTGGTTTCCTATCGTATGAATATTCCAAAGGCCAATTGATTGTGAAATAAAAAAAGAGCAGTCTCTATAGGATTTAAATGTGATCGATTGATTGCAAGTTTATATGTAATTGAATCTTTTTGACATTTTATCAAGGCGAATCGAAATATTTATTTAAAATGCTGCTATAGCCGATATATATATATGAATCGGCAAAATATCAAAATATTTACTACAAAAAACTAACAAGGAAGTAAATAGTTTTAAATCTGTTAAAAATAGAATTTAGAAAATATTCATTTTATGATAATTTATTTTTCACCAGACATTATAATGGCTTATTTTCAGGCAGATGATTCAGCTCAGGAAGCTGATGCCAGGCACTGAAATGGAGCGAAAATAATAGAAATCAGTCTATATATTTCGGATGGATATCCGTGGTATTTTACAATATCTCGATATATAACGCAACTACGCAGAGCCAGATATTCTGAAATATCTCGGATGGATATTCATTCGAAATACATAGACTGATAGAAACTATTGTTATGGTGATTATAGCAATGTAAGCATTTTTATAGCAATAACAATCACTCCATTTCAGCTTCCTGAGCTGCCGGAAAATATCTCAATATTTTTCACGGTTACAGATCAAAGCACTGGTAATTCATATACGAATGCGAAAAGTTTTGTGTTTTTGTCAGTTAGGTGTATTGGTGTAAATTTCAAGTAAATTTCAGCAGACAGCAAAAAAAAGGTATAAAATTAGTTTTTTTTTTCTACAGATCCAATGGACAAATACACACAGTGCACCAGTGCTGACAGTAACAACTCAACGGTAATAGTAAAAGTGAACATATGACACAAAGCTTTCGTAAAGCTTTGATTGAGGGGAAATGAGTGAAAGTTTCCATTTGAGTCACACGTACTTACTACTGGTCAACAACATCGAAGAACGAAAAACCGTTAAAATAAAACTCCTCAAAAACATCGAATTTTTATATTCGAACCCCGTACCGGTGGACTTTTGATTTAAATGATATAATAATCAATCTATGTGATTGTATTGTAATGATCACACCGAAACATGTACAACTCTTGTATGTTTTTAATAGTAGCCATAATTCTAATAAGAAGTGGCATATTTATCGTAGTTCAATTTGAAATTGAGTTCAGGGCGGTGCATTTAAAGTCATAACATTTTTTCATTGTATCAAATGGCCATTGCAAACTGTGCCACTTGTGTATAATTATATTTGCAAAAATGAACATATTGCAGCGAAGAAGCTATGGCATTCTGAAAAAGAAAAGTATATATTGGCAGTATGGAGTTCATGGCCATTAAAAATAATGAAAGTGTTTTTGAACGGAAAATTTCAATGAATCCAATGGATCAGTCTTCAGTTTTACTTTAATATTCGAACGAAGTATCAAATACTTTGGAAATATATACTTCATTAATATTTAATTCACAGCGAAAGTGCTAGTTTTACCAATATTATGGTTTGTTTATTTGAGTTATTAAATCAAATCGTGTTGCTATGTGCAATCCAACTCGGTTCATCGTTCACTGGCTGAGGTGGCCCACATAACATACACGAGCGAGAAAAGCTTAACGAACGTAAACTTAAGCGAAACATTTTGTTGAATTATTTATTTAATCTGGCTTCACATACTTTTCCAAAGTGCTCGCAACTCAAATACTCACAACATTAAGCTTAAACTTACATACTGCTGGCGAAGGAGAATACACGTATGCATTAATCTGACATACATAAGTAAAAATAAACGATATATATTCTCATCGATAATTGATAAAACATATCGTGGGAGTTTTTGAATGAAACAAACACAAGCATGGACACATGTATCAGATCTCGTGTGAAATAAAAAAAAATTATTTTTGTTTTCAGAGATTGCAGACGTTGCATCTCTTACTACTCGTATTGATATCGCTTTAGATCCAGATAGACCTTTTACCGCCTTTTATATACAAAACTATGTGCGAGCAAACAATAACTTTTTTTTTCAAATATGTTAAGCATCTTATTTGAAAGTTTCAAACTGTGGAATGAAAATGTACTGCGATGAGATGTTGTCAATTTCAAAATGTTGGGAAAAAATATTTAACTGTTCAAACATTGAACAATTGACTCTAAATGTGTCAGATAGAAATTGAAGATTAGAATTTGTATCTAAGCGCTATATAACTTATTATTATGTCACGCAGATACACACTACATAAAAACTTTTATTGGTGTATACTTAACATAAAAGGACGTTCCGCAAACGAATGAAGTGTTGAATAGATGAAAATAAATATTTTTCGTTTGCTGGGAATATCTTTTATTCTCCAAAAAATAATAATATATTTTGGCACAGATTGAGGAAGAGATATACATGTTCAGATAGAATAGTTGAATCGATAGCCTCGTATGGGATATTCATATGAAAATCGTCAATTAATCATCATTTTCATTGTCATTGGTCGTTTTTACTGTTGTTTCTGTGTTGGTAAAGGTTGTATTCATCGAAACCGAGTCCGAATATTTGTCTTGTTTTTCATTAATTGGAAGCCATGGAAGCCGTTTTTGAAGTTCAACTCTGGAATGAAATCAAAAATATAAATATTTTTTTAGCTCTATGTTTACCACTTCACGAACTTCTTCTGTTTCAAAAATGCTTAAACAAAAATGTTTCAAACAAGCTTATAGGTCTCAAAATAATGTTCGTCCATGGTTTTAATGAATTAATAAAAAAGAATCTCACCGATATTTTGGATGACTGATCGCATAAACGTATGGATCAAAACAGGCCACCAATTTACAAGTAACAGCTGGTATCATTGTAATGACTGGTGTTAAAAGTGTTTTATCACCGTAAATACCAATCAGCGCAACTGCACTGTAATTATTCAATTTTTTTTTAATTTTATATATTAGAAAAGTATTTGAACTTCTGGCATCAATGTTTGAAACTACCATATTCAGATTTAAAAAAAATTGTATATATTTATCAAATATCTTATCTCATACCTGTATGGAGTCCAAGCTAAGGAAAAAATATATTTCTTGACATTAAATTCAAAGAATCTTCAACAAAGATATTCATTGTCCGTCAGAGCTGTAATTTTCACTCTGTCAGTGTGCGCACATAGTAGTGTGTACACTGACATTCCATGTGCGATGCACAAAAGTTTGATATTTTAAAGGATGGTTTACAATTTTTGGACAACGGTCAAAAATGTCAAACTTATGACTAAGTGTGCGTGCACATTGAAAATACAAGCATTGTGTGCACACTACTATGTGCGCGGTGCGCACACTGACAGAGTGAAAATTACAGCCTTGTTCATTGTATTCATTCAAAACTTACACAAAACAAACAAAAAGCACATTGTGATTGCTGCTTTTGTAATGCGAATTTCATTTGATATATTTCCCGATTTTTTTTGTGTCGATCGAATTGAAAAAACGTTCATCTTTTTGGCTTGATTCTTTAAAGCCTTTTCATGTGAAAATACGTGTGCACAAATCCGACTATAGTTGAAAAGGATCAGAAATATCGGAATAACATAAGTGAATGTAAAAAGAACCGTCACGAACAACTTGATATCAAACGATTCGTCCAAATAGTCAAAGCTGCAGGTGGTCAAGAATCCTTCTACGAAATATAGTGTACACACTATGAGATAAAGGTCTTATGTTTGTTTTCATTTTTCAATTTACCTGGAACAAATCGTCCCCAAACTTTGAAGTAAGGAAAAAATGACCTGATTGGCAGAAGCGATCGACATCGAGAATGAAATGAAAAATGAATACAAACGAGAAACTTAATTTTAACAAGGCAACGGATTCATTATTATATTGAAATGTCAATGTTCATTTAAAAATGTGGCATTTACCATGGTAAAATATAACACCAGATGAAGATTAAACAGAAAATTGCTTTGGTCATCTTCATTTTGCCATTCATTGGATTCGCGATGATACTATATCTAAAAGAAAGAAAATTGGAAACAGTTGGGGATCAAAAATTTTGACCAAATTAAGAGAAAAACCTGCAACACATCTTCTGTTCATGTTAATTTTTTTATTTTATTGCAGTTGTTTTGAAGTGATTTTCCGTCATATGAATTTAGTCGAGTAAATATGGACGAAAACTCAACCTGTCGTATGAAATGAAGGCGTTAGTTATGGAAGCACCGATACCACTGATTGAACCAATTAGTCCATATACTTCGCACCATACTGATCCCAATGCCATGCCTTGTTTGAACGAATTGTAAATAAGCATCGGAATTTTCGACATCATTAGAAAATCGCACACGGCCAAATTTATTACAAAAAGATTCGAAGGAGTTCGCAATGACTTTGAACTGCATTTAAAAAACAGAAGTCAATGAATATCAAATATTTTATATAAAGAAACTTTAAAAACGTACGTTGCAAAAATCCAAATGACCAAACCGTTTCCAATAAGTCCGCACACCATAAAAGCTGTGTAGAATGTGCCAATTAGAAGGTGTAATGAAGCTGCAGGTTCTGCGTACGTCAGCCAATGTTTGGGAATTATATCAAGATCTTCAGGCGACACATTCCAACCAAGGGAATGAACTATCGGCTCTTGTGTTCTGTAAATATACCATTTGAATGTTTAAATTTACACAATTTTCCTGATTTGGTTTAATTTTACCGTGCTTCCGGACGAATAGCCGTAAAACTTTCATTAGACCTCAAAGCAGTTTCCATTTTTAAAATTTCAACGTTTCAACAGAATTTAATTTTAAACACAAAAGACATGCTTATTCAGTACTTCGTTCCAAGAAATGGTATCACTTATCACTAAATAATGGTGGGCACAGTTTAATCCGAATCTGACATGAAGTATCCACTTCATCAGTGCGAACTTCAATGTCGACTGATCCACTCGGAATTGGTTGCGTAGAGAAAATTCTTTTTTATACACCCCGATTGAGATTTTTAATTAGATTTGTCTGTTAAATCTAGTCAATTGGAAGTTTATGTGATTATTGTGATAATACTCGTATTATCCAATTTAAGCACACAAATATTTTAACCTCGAATGTAATCGAATATTGCAAGCAAAGCATATCGGTATTCTGTGCATTTGTGGCAAGATTTGTGGTATTTGTTGCATTGATTACCTTCAATTTTAAGTATATCGCTGATTAAATTATTTAAACATGAGCGATCACCAAAGCTTATTACCTTTTAATGAGATTAATTGCAATACACTTCGGTGATTTGTTTATTACAATTATTGGGGTCGATTTTTAACTTTTCCGCACATCTAGTGTAGGAAAGGTATTTATATTACAAACAGGCAATGTAGCGAAAAAAATAAACTTATTGCAAGAATTTTATTTCAATTTTCTGTTTTGATTGCAAGCAATTTCTGGAGCAAATATTATTTTGGAACGTTCCTGAAAATTCAAATGGGAAATAATGTTTTCAAGTTAGAAACTCTTTGCCGTCAACGGCAAAAATAGGCCAGCGCCAGTAAGTTGAACTATGCTAACAACATTTACTTGAAGCAACTTCTACTTAAATGCGCTGCATATGACATAGAGTTTTCCTTAAATAGAGCGTAAGTTTTTAGAATTACGATGTCATTTTGTTGTCACGTTCAGAGTATGCTGCACATAAACAATCAGCGTCCGATTGTATGCCAACCGTTGAAAATATAGATTAAAAGTAAACCCCATATAGTAAGTAGATCCTTTAATTCCATCGGCTGTCATTTGATGAATACAAACGTATCAAAAAAAGCACTCGATATGTATGGATAAAAGTTGGCAAAACTTTAATATTCATCGTTTGGCAAAATTCGATTATGCTTTGGAAGCGACATTAAATCATTTATGTTTCGATTCGATTTTTACTCTATGTTTATCAACGCGAAAATGTCGGTGTTCGTGTGATCGAACTTGGAAAAATCATCAGCATTTATATGGCGCCATGAATTTTTACTAGTAGCATTTACAATACGGAATTGGAGAAAGAGCAATAATAAGTTTTTGCGTTCAGTGGCGCATACACATCACATTGCATTCCAATCACATCGACGCGTAAACTTGGCCAATCTCAATATTTGGTGAAATTTGGATAATAACACTTTTTGGGGGATTTTCAAGACACGTGATTGTTTTACTTTATTGACTTTATCGTGTCAAAACGGCGAAACTTTATTTTGGCCACGCGTGCGCTCACCAATGAGCACCATCATCAAAATCCACTTTTTGTTCGGCGAAGTAACAACTGAATTAATGTCGTAAGATTTTTCATCGAATTTATCGAGGCGTTGCTCTTGTGACTGCAACAAATTGCTTTTAGAAATGTTCTAAGCATTTTCCTTTTATCAATGAAAAGTCACATTTTGAAGCACTTGAACAACGTTCGACATGATAAAATGGGTTCAGTAACAATCCGACGGTCATGACCGGACATCGTCCGAATATTTATTCATATATAATATATGATTGCTGTAGGACATAAACGAAGAAGAATCGCACCAAAGAGAATACACAAAACGATATTTTGTACAAAAATTAGATGGACAAATACAATTTTAGACGGATTATCAACTAGTTCCGAATTTTGGATGCCATGTCATCTAGTTTTCATTGTATATTTTTTGTTTGTGTAATAAATCATGATAAGTTCCATTTCACATCACATATTTGAGCACCAGTGATGTATTCAAAAGATTAAATCGGTCGTATAATAAAAATGTGCCGAATACGATAAGTGTGTGCGAAAAAAATGATATAAAAAGATAGAATGTATTTACTTTTAATATATTTTCATAAAAAGACAGATAATGTACAATTCTTTCGATTTGCTAGGAATTTTGCATGAAACAAATTCTTTTTATTTGCTAGAGTTTTTTGACGATAGAGTGATGAGCAAAAAAAGATCATCAATTTTGATCCAAATCCATTTTACTTATTTTTAATTCAAAAATTAAATTTAAATTAAATAAATTAGTTTTGTTTTGTCTTACCGAAATGACATTTTGAGAGAGTACATAATTATAGATCTTATTTGGTGGTGGCTAGGGGCTTTTATGCTCATAATTATAGTACTTTACTACTTTTGAAATATAATGTCAATATCCCCCTAGCTTATTATTCAGTGCAGATTTATCAGATTTATGCCGTATATATTGTGAATATTTGTGTATATTTTGTAAGACGTATAATCATAAAAGCCCCTAGAGTGGTGGTGCGAAATTATTTTAAAAGTACATAATTATTATACCTATCTATATTCGGGCGATGTCCGGTCATGACCGTTGGATTGTTACTGAACCAATAAAATGAGTGTGCAAAAAAAACGATTCCAAATTTCTTCCTTATTTGTTCGTTTTGCAAAGCAGCAAAAAATCAGACCAATGTTCGTCCTTGCCCAAGGAAAAATCAATATTTAATTTTAGAATAAGATATAATTCAGTGCATTTTGCAGAAGTAGTTCAATCGAATAAGCAATATTGGGCCAATTTCATTGCGAACACACACTCAAACCAAAAATGCTCTTCATTTTTTCTTCATCTCGACTTTGGTCCGATTTTATGGGCGCGTAAAGTTCATAAAAACTTTTGTACAGCCAAAGTGAAATATCACTTTGATATATTCCCGACCTACGAATTCAACGGAGGTGTTGTATTTAAATGAAGCGAGCGCACAAGCATTATTGATAATAATTATGGCGAAGAAAATGTGGTATCTATCTTAGGGTTATTACGGTTATCGTACGGTATACACACATATACATGCGAATCAACCCTCCCATTACGATAAGTACTTTCATTTATGACGAAGTAAAAGATAACAACTTTTCCAACATTATTCATTCGGTAGCATCGCTGGTTCACTTCGAACAAATCGCAATGTTGTTCATGCAAATCGAATACGAAGGAGCGATGCATCGCTACGAAATTGAATATTTCCCGGTAACTTTGTTTTTAATATTCTATTAAAACCAGCCACCATTTTTGATTAATGGCTAAATGCAGATGTGATGGTGTGATAATTACCCGCAAAATATCTGTTTGTTTGACGAGATTCGATTTGAAATATAGAACCAAACCGATTTTGGTTTCATCATGTAACATGGCATATTCTCTATCGCATTTTTTCAGTTTTGATTTCGTTTCTTTAAAAGTTTACATATGAAAAAATCATTGGAAAAGTTTATTGAGAATTTATTACTGTATGTTGATGAAGAGAATTTTTTTCTTTGTTCGCATCTAATATCGGGAAAAATATAAATCATTGTCTTCAATTTGGTGTCGCATTTCGAATTTAAAATTCATTGGCTCTTACCAAAAATGGTTTGATGAGGAAAGTCAAGCCGGTTTCTGTTTCAATGAAGTTATATCTATAGTATAATAAAAAAAAACTATTGGAACAGTTTATATGAATTTATTTTATTATATAATATTTTAGAAGATGATTCATTCATTTGTATATTTTCAAATTTCAAGATAAAACGCTCATAAAAATAACGTTTATTGTGAAAAAGATATCTTGAAAGGAAATAATGCTACCCAAACGTACAAAAATGGTTAAATTTATACGTTGAGGAGTAACAAATCAGCACACTGTATCACACTAATTGTATCACCACAATTCTATAGGTTTTTCATTTCGGTTATCACAGACAATCCCTCATTTTGTAAATAGACTTCGGTTGGTTTCTCATCGACTTTTTGTACATTTGCGGTTGCATCGTTTTGAGCTTTCTCTCTGGCTTCGGCTCGATTTATCGTATAAATCCATCTGGAATCAATCAAATTTGACAGTAAAAATGTGAATTATTCATTTGTTTTTCAATGCAATCAGATATAATTTTATGGCACTCATTTCAAAAATGAAAACAAGTGGCTTGTTTAATTTATTTTCATAATGGTTATTAAAAGCCATTAAGTATTATTATATGTATATTTAAGTTGTCATAAAATTTTATAACGCAATCGTAAATTCGAAAACTCATTCTTATCTCATTCTTGAACGAATTATATTTTTCATTTGATTTTAATCAGTTTGTATCATAAATAAATAAATAAAAAAATCGATACGTACAAGAAGAGCAATATTCCGGGAAAAGACATGCACCCACCGACTAGGAAGAAAGCACCCGGCATCGTAGTTAAGGTGGCTGAATATATCGCGGCCAAAACTGGTGAGTAAATTAGTGGCGCAATTGATTCGACAATTCCTATGACACAAAAAAAAAAAAAATGCATTTACATGATGCTAAATTAAGGGCAGTCGCTCACTTTTCGAAAATACCGACATATTTATGAGTACATAGCTCAAAATATGGCAATTATCTACCGATTATCAACCCACAAATATTTTGAATGACTCACCAAAAAGGGAATTCACTTTGCCTAGTTCATTACTCGACACAATTTTCGATGCCAATGATCGCATTGCAATCAATGCTGCACCACCAATTATTTCAGCTACCGGACCAATAAACATATGCCATTCCACTTGAGAGAAGGCATACACAAAGCTCGATAGAATTTTCGAAAAACTGGCCATTGAACCGATAAGTGCATCATCCACTTTGAACATGCTTGAAAGAATGCTCATTGCAAAACCAGTCCCAAGCAAATGAACCCCGACGCTATACGTAGAGAAAAAACTGAATTCCACTTCGCTCCAATTCCACTTGTATCGCGTAAACAAATAAAACAATGACATTTCACCTAGTTACAAACAAAAAACCACGAACATGAAAGAAAAAGAGATAATATAATACGATGCGATGATTGAATTGTGTCGGAATTGAATAAATCATATGAGTAAATCCATAAATGTAATCACATATAATTTTTTCATTTTTTATTTTCGAAATAATTACCATGTAAAGGTCCAACGACGATAATAACCACGGCCATCAATACGAGAATCTTCATACGACGATTTTTGGCACGAGTCTTAAACGCCACCAAAAATGTATCTTTGATGTGAGCAAAATCGAAGAAGTCAGCCAAAAATGATTTTTTGATAATTTGTTGATCCTTCTCCTTCGGCGGTACCTCTTTTAGCACAAAAATTCCGTAAAACAATGCCGTTGTATACAGTGTGCCAGCCAATGCAAATACTCCATAGAATCCGACTCTCCTAAATAATTCAAATGTTTTAAAAAAATGCGAAAAAGAGACGAAGGTTTACACCTTACTTTATAAGTATTCCCGAAAAAGCCATGCCAAATGGCATGCCAACTGAATAAACCAAGCTTATGATTCCAATGCGAACAGTTCGGTCACGTTCCTTAGTTATATCAGCCATATAACTGAAAATACCGACCATCATTGTGAAATGACTTCCTGAAAAGTTGAAATTAATTCAAAACCACGTTTCATGCGAATTGAAAATATTTTGCAATTTACCGGTGATACATGGAAAGAAGACTTCTACAAAAATAGCCACTTCAATTGGTGTTCGTTCAAAGTAAATGCACAACAGTAACGAAAATGCCATCATAATTTGTCCACACAGTGGTATCAGAATGCATGGTTTTCGTTTTCCATGTCGATCACTCCACGAACCGAAGAATAGAATTAGAAAACAAGGAATTGCACTGTTTAACGCCACTTTCCATCCGGTCATTCGGGCGACGAGCTTTTGAATGGCCACCTCTTCATCGGCATAATGTGATGTATCACGATTTCGGAGCGCATCACAAACGGTTTGATTATAATTCAAATTCACACGACACGCTTTTTCTAAATTTAAATTTTGCACTCCCAACATCAAGAGCATGCTCGGCAACACAAAACATGCCACCAAAGGTTCAAGTGTTATGTGATCGTAAATGTAGCGAACCTTTTTGCTAAAAGACATCTCCTTGAAAAGAGTTTCATTTTTTTTGCTCGGCGCCTTTTCTTCGACCATCCTTCCAGCACTTTTTCAATGTGAACAAAACGAAAAGAACAAAAATGTTAATTGCAAAGTTAATAAAGATTTTGATCATTTCAGTTGTATTATAAATCTGTTTAAATGAATATTGTTCAGTGAATTTAAAATGTAAGGTGTGGTAAACGATGTCATCAACTTGACATCTGGAGGTGTTTTTTTATTAAAAATAATAAAATTCCCCATGAAAAAGTACCGCCAGATTATCTAAATATATAAATTCACAAGTGGTATATGCGAACGACGAATAAAAGAACGACGTGTTCCATGTACAAAGAAAATGACTCAGTCAGTCAAATTTAAACGAATTTATTTGATTTGAGATGAACATTTCGATTGATTTTCATACACATTTTTACATATAATCAGCCTAATGTAAGACAAAAATCATTTCAAGCGTTCGTTGAGTGTAATCGTCTTATTTGATTGAGATAACATTAAGTCAATTAAAATGTCTAAAAATAACCGGCTGACTATTACATGTTTACAGTTTTTGACAGTGTTCATTCGAGTTATTTTATAAAAATATTTTATTCGGCGTTATTATTTATAGCCCAATATGCATATTACAAAGAGTACTGAAGCAAATTAATTGCAAAAAGGGAAGATCGTGATTTTTTATTGAATTAGAATACAATTTTAGCTACAATGAATAAATGAAATGTCTCACTTTACGTGAATCCAACTTTGGAAATAAAAATAGTCGCAATAAATTTATCATTGCATCTAATGGTATATTTAATGAAATAGAACTATAAAAACGTCCATATTGTTTCTCATTTCGTCTTCATGAAAAACAGCATTTGAAAGCAATACTTATAGACTCGCTTTAACATTTACAGTAATTTTACGCTAACAGTGTTCCAGACGAAAAAGTAAATTCAATTGCGTTTAAGTATTGCAAATACTCAAAAATGAAGTGGTAAGTGTTTATACATAGAAATCGACAGAAGCAGAGATATTAAATGCGAAACTAGCAATAAAATTCAAAAGTATATATTTGCTATAACAAAGATCTAATAAGGGAAATGTCAGTTTGTTCATGCTTTGTTTTATAGAGAAATTGTTCATAAATTATAAATTCAACGAAAGTACAATAGAACTACGTCACATTCATGGCATGTACGTGATATTTTCATTGTATCTCATTTTTGCACTTTTGATAAAATCTTAATAAAGGAAGAGTACCTAGCTGAAAATTTGAGTTTAACACTTATTTAGATTGTAATCCCACCAAACATTAATTTAATAACTTTTTTATTCATCGAATTATTCGCTGACTCTTTTGTATTAGAAGGCAAAAAATATCGTACACGATTGAATGTCGGAGATAAATTAAATACATTTGTGATTCATTTTTTAATCATATAATAACAAACCAAAACGTGTGTCGTCTGTGTTACAAATGTATAACACAAATAATTTATCGGAACTTCCAAATATTGAATATCAAACGTGACTCTAAATTTAATTGCGGCTGTCCGTGAATATACCCATGACCGCCCGATTTGTTATCGCACTTGATATGAGGCAAACGAACTGTGACACTTCCTACTATTATTCTGAAGAATAAATATGGACATTTCAATGTTTCATGCTTTTCATACACCGAGAGCTAATTATGAATTCATAGTCGATTACAAATCTGAACTGATTAGCAACCTGACAATAAATGGCCTTTACGATTTCACCGATGAATATTTCAACGAATTCAAAATCGTTCGCGAACTCGCCGAAATTTACTTAGCTGTTTTCATAGACCGAGAGCTTCATTTAATTTACATTGACAGGATAAAAATAATAAAATTTGTATATTTCTGCATTATTATTGCAGATCTGAAAACAATGCAAATTTTAAATGAATTATTTTAATTATATGACATGATGCCCGGATTTTTCGTTTTTTTTATTATTCAGAATAATAGTGCTTTCGATATAAATTGAGTTTTTGTATTTTTTTTCTCCATAACATCTTCTTTTCAAGCACATACGTGATAAATCCATGTTCTGAATAAACTAGTCCATTATTATCTTATTGTTATTACTTTTGGCGGAATGAAACCTGTATTTACTACACAAACTTCAATGCGAAGATTCTCTGTAGACGAATGACTATACAATTTCGAGTGTGTTTGGATTATTAAATTTGCACAAATATGAAGAACATTGGAAGACAATTTACGAATGCTTGAATTCTCAATGGAACATGAACACGGTATTAGTTGAAATGTGTTCAGTATCACTTAAAAGCCGTTTCGCTCGAATGAATACTATTCATTGAATAAAGCAAATTAAAAAAAAACTGAACCCGTAACCGGTATCTGCTCAACTATTATAAAAAAGTTCACACAAAAATTAATTAGACAATTGAAGGCATATCAATCAATTTACTGTGATAATAAGTCAACGGAAATAATTGAGAGCGAAGTTGTCCGGTTGAATTGTGTCTTGTTGCAAGTAGAATAGTCGGTTTAATCATTTTATTAGCGACGATCATACAGCTGTCTGGAATAATACAATAATTTGACGGTTATGAAAAGTGCACACTCAAATAAAGCCGAAACAGCATGCGCAAAATTTTAAATGACCTAAGAATGAAACCTGACTTTGTTATGAAAAGCATTTTGCCAAATAAAGTCAAATGAAGTTCAAAAATGTATTTCGGCCTCTTCAAATCACTCTGATGAATATTGAGCATTGATTGGCATTATTCTTGTCATACCAAGCAAATACATTTTTTTCTCTCTGCGTTATTGTCACTCAGTGGAACGAAAAAAAGAAACAATTTATGCGTGTTTTTGTGCACATGTTATTGAATATCACTCGTTAGCTAGGTTATTATATCGAATTCAGGTAATCTATTAACATAAAGGTCTGTTGATCATGTTTACATTTTGGTTGACGCTTTTCTACAAACAAAAACTCGATTTATTTTGAAACATACAACAATTACGCAATGGAATCCAATTATAAAATCACATGGATAAACTTTCACAACTTGTCAATCTGTTTGGCATTCAGTTTAGGAATGAAAAAAATTCAAAAACATATGCCAAATTCACGTTACAAATGGTATAATAAATTAGTTAGGTAAATAATGACAAAAAATTATATATATTTACAATAGCTGGCACATTGTGGCATATCATCAAAGCTGATATGCATGGATGACTTGGATACATGTTTAAAAACTGATAAAAAATATTTAAAATTGAGTTTATGGTCAAATAGCAGCTCAATGAGTGATGTGAGCGTAGCTTTTTGTATCTATCCAACATTAAAATTCAATAATTTACGGTCTAGAGTTGTAATTGTTGTGAATTGTCAATCTGAGCCAATGTGAAAAGTATCAAGCTGGAAAAAATTGTTGATTTGAAAGATAGCGTTCATTTGAATGTACAATATTGGTCATGCATCTCAATAAATTGATACTTAAAGTACCCGAAAAGTCGGAGAACATCCAATTATAACTTATCGATGCAATGTGTTAATCAAACCGGTTTTTATAAAGTTTTATGCAAGCTTCATTTTATAACATAAATTAAGTCGATTGAGGCTTATTCGCTATGGAATCACGATTTAAAATCTTAAATGTAAACTAATATTTTCAAATTGATTTTGCTTCGTCATATGATGTGCCCTATTCTCCATTTTAAAACTTTTTTTTATCAAACACATCAATCAATTAATCAAAAAAAAAAATATTTTCAGGTAAATTAATGTTATTTTGATTGATTTACATTTGTAATAAAAATCTCCGTTGCACAAATTATTAATTCCACTCCGTTTGGATTCTACATGAAATTGAATTTAAAAAAAAATTAACTTTGCACCAGCACTAGTTGTTCAATAATGATTCCGGTGTCTACTGTTTGTTATTGCACGACTGACAAACAATTCAATAACTGACAACGCTATTCTTTCATGTTTTCTATTCACTTAGTGCATGGATCATAGTGTGTATTTAGTTTTCATATAATTCAATGTTAAAACCGTTTACGGAAGATTATTTTGCTTATCGTTAAGCTTCTGTGTCTAAACAAAATCCAACACTGATTACTACTCCGAACATTTTGAATACAACTACACCCAAAACGATAACCAAATTGAGCGAAACACAAACACAATGACAATTTGCAAACGTTAAAAGTTAAACGAGCACACGTACAACGAAGCATGGGATTGTTATTCCATCGAATGTATACATATGGCAGTGAGTGAGACAAGAGAACCTATACAATAGTCTCGAATGGAATTCAACTGATGGATAATAACTATTACAATTGACTGTATTTTTAGCATCACATTTTAAATAATGATAATGATTATGTAACATCATTTGTTGCGCATCGATCAAATTCGTCAAAACAATGACAGAAACTGAAATGAATAAAACGATAAATACTTACTCGTATAGAAAGAATTTCTTACAAATTAATACGATAGGTGAAAAAACTGTGCGAACGTAACGCTTAAAACGACAACAACTCATTTTCAGTAACTGAGAAACAGAGTGAACGGTATTTCATCAGGTACGTTGGATTATTACAAGGTAATCAATTCTCCGCGCATTCGTTTGCACGCGATCGTACGCAATCGCGTATTCGCACGAGAATGATAAATGTCATTCAATACAGACGATTCAGACTTTATTTATCTTTATTTCTTTCTTTATTTCAGTGCATTTCTTTCTAATAGAAAGAATTAATTTGAATTACAAATGAATTTTATTTTAAGAGTTCATTTTTATTTATTTACAAAGTGTCTGTACTGGTTAACCAGGCAATTGTCCGCACGATTTTTCGAAATTCCCAATCTTTTTTTCTTTAGATGAAATTAAAATTCATTCAACTTTGGATGCGAAAAAATGGGAGAAGGGGATTGAAAGAAAAGACAAGATCTTCAGTCGTATGCGCTCGTTCGGTCTTGTATTCATATTTTTTTTTTTTCAGATAAATTTCAATATTTTCGAGAGAAAAAAATAGGCAACATTTATTTTCGGGTACTTTATGACAGCAACTTGAATTGTATTGTCTAGATGCAACGACATGTCGTGAATTCATTATGATATGAAATTAAATTTTGCAGCAAAACAAAAGATGAGAATTATTCGAGAAGCAAAGATCACTCAGGAGTATTTTGTAAAGGGAACAGATACGCCAACGCCCTGAGAGCTATTTGCATGCACTTTGATACGACGCATACGCTTGCATTACATTGTCTTATCACATTTTTAGGTAAAAATACTTACAAATATTTACAATTACTGTTTTTGGTATTAAATGTGTTGTTAAACAGCTAAATAGCGGCAAAGTACACTTTCAGTTGCAACCATGCATGACCGTAAACATTGTGATCTAATTGTATGATATACACGTGTAAACACATGGGTATTTTTTTTAAATTCATTGCCTTGCTTTAGTAGTCTCTTAATCATCGTGACTATGCATAGTTCAAAAACCATGGCTCTTTAGTCTCGTAAGAAATGTAAACAAAATCATTTCCGCCTGAATGTAGGCAACTTCATTCAATGAAATTGTTTGCAACACAAATCGACATTTTCAATTGCGGCCGATTCTTTTTTAAATTGAGGACACAAGTTTCTTTTTAACCTTCATTCATTGAAAACGCAATGGTAAAAGTTTTAAAATGTTCGTATATTTTTGTTTGTAATTTGTTATGATGCGAATGCGATTTAATGAATCATAAAAACATCAGACAAACTTCTTGTCGCCTTCGCCGCGCTTTGGCGGCTAACATCGAAATGAGAAAGTTGTTGAAATCGGTTGCGGAAAGTGCGATAATTTGCTTGCATTGATTCAAATTCAATTTTTTATGTGCGATGGCTTGAAAATACTTCTTGAAAAAGTGAGAAAAGTAAACTTTATTCTGTCGAACAAAGGGAAACACGAGTTTCACATTTTCTTACAGAAAACTTGTTTTCTCGAGTCAATGGCACAATTTGTGAAACATTTTTATCTAATCTTTGTGTTCAATTTAAAAAAAAAATACACACACATATACGCATCCATTTTCGCATGCATTATGCGCTTAAATATGGGTCTATTGAAGAAACTTTTCGCTTCTCTTTGGCACGAAATGATTTTCTCTGTCATTATGTTAGTTTAATGTGTGTTCTTTTATCTTTTCTTCCGTTTCCACCGGTCGTTTCTTTGGTTTCTCAATTCACCCTCCTCTTTCTCTCTTTGTTGTGTGTCGCCAGCTTTGTTCATTCTTAATCAATACAGTGAACGTGTTTGCGTTGAACGAAATGAGACTTTATCTTCGTCCGTCTTGGTTTTGGTACAAGTGTGTGAGTGTGATTGTGACAAACCACAAAATTGATGTTGTGATAATAAAGTTCATCATCATCTTTCCGATGTCGGTTTTGCCATAACGTTGCTTGTCACTTATTTTACCTTCGAAAATTGCCGTTGAAAAGGAAAACTTTAAATATATCACTTTTTGTTGAGCTTTCTCTTGACTAACTCAAACCACCATACAACTTTGACTTCTTGAGAGAAAAATGGCTGCCATCTTCGACAAAGAATTATTTTTATTCGTCTCGACGTTTTTATGATTGGATTAAAACTATGTACTAATTTTCTATACTTTATCGCAACGACTGAAAAAAGAGCAGAATTGGGAAGCAATAAAGTACAGAAATATCGGCGGACATTCCAAGTGCATTTAACAATCAGTTTGTTTTCAATTACATTTCTTTGGAAATTATTCTCTGCGTAAAAACGTTGAATTGACTACTAACTCCGAAATATCCAATGACCGTATTAGTTTCGGTTTAGCGTCATTTCATATCAAAACATTCGATTCGATGATTTAGTATATTTGATTGCGTTCGATACACATAAACTTTATGCTCAATAAAAAAAACTTTCACATTTATTTTCTGGAATCGAAACGAATTTATTTGATTTATTTTTGCACTATTTTTCGTAAATTGTTTAAAACCATTAAAAATATGTTTAACCCGAAAACAAGAAACCAAACAAAGGTAAGCCTTGCAGCGTTCGAAGTAGATTTCCGGCTAAAGATGTGGGTAAACTCATAATATTATTCATAGTTTGCCCGCCGACTGCACTCTGTGAACTTTGAGCCACACCTGTGTTTTGACCCAATGTGCTCAATCCACTTAAAATATCCATATTTGGTGGCATACATATACAAACTTCAACCTGTGAATAAATTTGATTTTTGTTTACTTAGAAAGTAATTGAAATAACAAAAAATTCTATCTCTACCAAATCGAAAAGAAAAACATCTTCGATGATAGTTTTTAGAAAGTTTGTACCCTTGTTATTGATAACTTACCAAGTATGTTGTGAAAACGATTAAGGCTACAATTTTAGTCGAAAACATGGTTCGTTAAAATGTGAACTCCTTTGAAGATTTCGCTTGAAGAATTTGAAATCGTTCTCGTTCAATTGTGATGATTACCTGATTTAGATGGCTTAAATTCGTACAAATTTATAGCGTTTGAACTGTTCAATCGTTCTTTTATCTCTGAATGTTTTTAAATGAATTCAAATAACAAATAAAACAGTTAACTTTTTGTTATGGTTTCAAATAATTTACATTGTTTTCGAAGTATGTAAATTATTAGTCATTTCTTACCGTTCCGAAATGCTAACGGCATTTGTTGTTTCGTTGCATACAATCGATTTTTTTTTTTCAGTGTTTGTTTAACCTCAAGTAACAAGATGTTACCGGAACCAAGCGTTACAGTATGTATACTTCCTGGGTTCATTGTCTTCAAAGTTTCAAAGCCGCCACATTTTGGGTGATTTTTGAAATACGTCATATAAACAACTCACTCACAAAGGAACCTATAATTAGAATTTTAAGCAAACGCAATTGTTGTTCTTTGTAATTGAATACACCATAGAACGTGCATGGAGATTGTGAAAATTATCCAGATGTGCTTTCTAGAGTGATAGAGTAACGTTTGATAAAAACCAGAAAAATGCAACAACAAAAGGAATGGATTTGGGCTACAAAACGTTTGTGGAATCAAAACACTGAATTTCTGCAAACGTGTCAAAATCAGTCCCGACCAAAGAGACAAACATACCTACAACAAATAAAAATCAACACTCAAATAAATTGTATACTCAAAATTTATTATTACTGGATAGAAAATTGCGAATTTTCGGTAGTTGTTTTAATGAGGAATGACGACGTGTTTCAGGAGTCCTTTTCATTAGATTGAGAAAATGTCCATTTGATTTGAAGCATTAAATAAACTTCAACTAAAATGCTGTCAACATAATTCAACAAGCTTTTTTTCCATAAATTCCATTGCTATAAAGCGACAGCGGCTCGAAAGTTGTTGTTGAGACCATTTAAAATGCCGTGAAAAAAGACCACAATAAAAACCAAATCATTTTAGTTAACGAACAAAAGCATTTAGTCCATCGTTATGTGTATGAAAGTTTTGTTTTTGTATGACAACAAAAATCGATGAATATTTTGTTGCAATGAGATTTGGCAAGCGAGTATCAAACATTCAATGTACATGTCCATAATTTGGACACAATATTACGGAGATATGTGGAAAAGTTTTAAAATCCATTTGCTATACATACATCTCAAGTGGACCGAACATGACGTTTTGTTGAGTGAAACAATGGTGATGCATGTATTCAAAATTTGATTAAATTTGTTGAATTTGCGTCGCAATTTGTATTAAAGCATTTGTCATTGTGCATTTTGAATGCAATTCAATTTCGGTATAGTTGTAGGGTATACCGCAAAAAAGCCGCGCTCAAACAATGTGATTCGGTCATCTCTTTGGGAATACTACGATGTATTATTTCATTGTAAAAGATGAACTCTTATGCCAGCGTGTATGTGCATATGTGAGTATGGATGCATTTGAAAATCAGTTTGTATTCTGATAAATGCGGGCAATAAAATACATTTGTGTCATTCGTGATTTAACCCATACAGATTATCCATAATTTTATCTAGGAAGCAGATATTTTCATCAAGCTGAATGAGTTTTAGACTTGAAATTAAGTGAAACGAATTCAAACTTAATTTCAAGTCTTAATATCATCAGCGTAACCCATGTACAAAAGTTGTCCAAATGATAACTGTGGTTTGTCTTGATTTTAATAAACTTCATTTACTACAAAGCATTTCGTTCATTTTATGACATTTATTGGACTTTTTTTACTTATTTTTATATAAAATGCTCCATTGACGATTAAGATATATTTCATGAACACATATTTTTTGCGCATGTCAAAGGCAAACCTCAATCAGCTCTATTTTTCAGAATCTTCAATCATTTTTTTGTGCATACAAATACATGGAGTGCAGGATTTTAATTCCTAAATCAAATTACTTTTATTTCAAGCAAATTAAAATTAAATTTCCTCATCTCACGGCAAGTTCAGCAAATATGATTAAATTTTAACAGAAATATTGTATCGCACTTGGAATATTTTCCAATATTTTGTAATTAATTAGAGTGGATTGAAACTTGTAATAATGCCATAATAAATAGAAATTGTTTTTTAGTGTGAATTTAGTTTATTTTAGTTCGCCGTTGAAGCAAGTTGCAAAATGTCGCTTGGAGTTTTTACTTAATTCAAAATGTGTTTGTTTGGTTTCAAAAAAATCTTTATTTTCGAAGTGGCACTATTTGTTTCGTTATTTAAACAATTCGTTTCTATTTCGGTTTATTCAAGAGTCAAATGTTCATGGTTTCAATCATATAGCCAATAGAAATTATACTGCGTTGTTGTTACGTGACCATTTGTTTTTTCTTCTCTCGTTTTATTATCAATTGCCTACTCTCGGGCTAGTTTTTCAATGAACTTAAAAACATCATATGAATACAATGGATGCATTGAGATACCAGTTTCGTAATGAGCTGGAATTTTTTATAAACTAATGGATTTTAATGAAAAATCTTATATATCAAATTTTGATTCTGATTCTAGTTTAACTCATAGTTGAGTACATTTTCTTTCAACAGATGGCCAATATCACTTTGATATTATCAAATAACATACACAGTGACACAAATATTCAATTAGTATATTAATTATACTTTATTTTAGTTAGAGCCAGTCGGTTATGTTTTTAAGACCAGGGTTATTCGTTTCCTATTGTGCTTAGTCATCCGTAATTTAGTCTGTTTGCATTTTGTTATTAATAAGAATTGAAATACTTGAACTCCTCAGAAAAAAAGTTCGAGATCCCATATACGTAGTAAATAGTTGGTTCACCAAAGTTGTGTGATCTAACTTAATTCACTATTCTTCGTGGAAAGACCATGAAAATGAAAATATTATTGTTTTATCTAATACTTTAGGGTTCATTTGATGATATAAATTAAAATTAGATCAAAGATAAACAGGTTTTTCTCTCGGTCATTCATCTGTGCGCATTATGTGCATATGTATATAAATATAGTTGTACATGTAATGTATTTATTTGCGAGTTAGATTGTGTGCGAACATATTTTGTATTCTGATTATGATTATCGTAGAATGTATAACAGCCAGTATAATGTAGTACACAAAGAATTCCACTATGTAGAATAACAACAAATTTTATTTAGTATTTATCTCATTTCATTCACTTTCGTTCATATACTACTAATGCTATGGTATTTGTCAATAAGTAAAACTGGCATGATAGTCAATAAATGAACAAGTCACAGATGAGTTTTGTTGTGTTACTAAGATTAGTGTATCAGTGATTGTGATTGCGATCGGTTCTGTTAATACGACACAATCAAAATTAAACGACGTAAAAATAGCTCAACAACTTATCGAGTCAAAGCAACCTAGTCGCCCATTCCAAAGTTCAAATGAATTTTTTGTGTTCATATTTTGCGATTTGTTTGACTTTATTAGTCACTTTGGGATATGTTTACGTGAAACGTAAGTACAGCTATTGGCAACGACATAAAATTGGATTTATAGAGCCAAAATTTCCATTTGGAAATTTACGTGTGATTCGACGAACGGAGCATTTGTCACAGCGTTTAGCTCGATTTTATATTGAGCGAAAACACGATGCGCCAATGCTTGGCATTTATTTCATGTTAAGTCCAATTCTATTGATCACCGATTTGGAATTGATACGTCACATTTTCATTAAGGATTTTCAATACTTTCGGAATCGTGGTATATTCTACAACGAAAAACATGACCCATTATCGGCTCATTTATTCAATGTCGATTACGAGAAATGGCGACCATTACGATCGAAATTGACACCAACATTTACCAGCGGAAAAATGAAATTTATGTTTGGAACTATTGTTGCGGTGGCCGATGAATTTGTCGCTTGTTTAAATCGTTCCATTCAAATCGACAGTGAAATGGAGGTCAATGAGTGGCTCGGTCGCTTTACGACCGATGTCATTGGAACCTGTGCATTTGGTATTGAGTGCAATAGCTTGAAAGATCCACAAGCGAAATTCCGTGAAATGGGTAGAAAAGTGTTTGACCAACCAAAACTCAATACATTCGAACGAATGTTGATCATGTCGTGCAAAAGTTTAGCGAAATTATTGCGCATTTGTACTCATCACAAAGACGTCACCGATTTTTTTTTGAACATTGTCAACGAAACCATAGAATATCGCGAGAACAATAATGTACAACGCAATGACTTCATGAGTCTGTTGATTGAATTGAAAAACGCAAAAAACGACACGGACCGATTAACAATAAATGAAATTGCAGCTCAAGCGTTTGTCTTCTTTCTGGCCGGTTTTGAAACAACATCAACAACCTTGACCTATTGTCTGTATGAACTGGCGTTGGACAAACACAAGCATATTCAAGACAAAGCACGGCAAGAGATAGTCACCGTTTTGGATAAACATAACGGAAATTTAACATATGAAGCAATTAATGAAATGACTTATATCGATCAAATTATTAATGGTACGAATGCGATTGATAAAATTCGATGAGGTTTTTTTTTGTCTGTTCGAATAGTAATAAATTCAATATGTTTCCACAGAAACGCTGCGCAAACATCCTCCTGCCTCAAATCTTGCACGAATGGCTACGAGTAATTATAAATTACCGAATTCAAATTACACAGTACCAGAGGGCATGATGGTGAGTTTGTACAAATTTCAATTTAGACATTCTATTTTTGATAGATTTGAATAATATTTTAGGTGATAATTCCTGTATACGGTATCCACCACGATCCAGAGATTTACGAAAATCCAGAGAAATTCGACCCGAACCGATTCACTCCCGAACAAATTCAACAGAGACCATCATGTACATTCTTACCATTCGGTGAGGGTCCAAGGAATTGTATTGGTTTACGTTTTGGAATGCTTCAAGCACGAATTGGTCTCGTTAAATTACTGCAAAACTTTGAGTTTTCGACATGTACTAGAACACAAATTCCAATTAAATATTCACCGAAAAAACTTGTTCTTTCACCGGAAAATGGCGTCTGGCTCAAAATAACCGGAGTTAAAAATTGAATTATATTTAATAGCACACATTGTGTCTTGTGAAATAAAGTGACTGAATGATCGACTTCGTTAAAATGCAAGGACTGTTTCTATAAGAAGACGGAATATCGGACGGAAAAATAAGTTTCCTACTCAATTGACGGCAAAAAGTCACAACTAATTTTCAAAATATCATTTTACAATTGCAAAAAAAAGATAAATAAATTTGAATAGAGAATAATCTCAAGCCCATAGTTTTTTTATTTATCGCACAACAATTTAGTTGATTGTTGTACTCAAGTTGTAACGAATCGATTGATTCAAAACGAATCAATTGATTTTGAATTGCTTTTATTGGTACCAATAACTTTTATCTCATATCAGTTTCATTGTCAAAACCGTGTAACAGATTACATTCATATGTGTAGACAAACAAAAGGCTATACAAAAAACAAAGCACAACAAAAATATAAATTTTTTCTCTGATTAAATGACGGCAATTGTAATATGATCAATTAATAGTTTGTGCATCATTTTTTCGGTGATAATTACATTATTACTTTTCATAATACTTTTTCAAATGTTATCCATCATCAAAATACCGCTTACATATGGTATTCGTTCGTTCATCGAAGACAAAGAGAAAAAAGTGCTATACTGGATGTATAACATAACCTCAAATCTGCTGTAATTTCGAAATGTTCTTCGAATTTTTTGTTTTAATCTGACATAATAATAAGTGACAGTCTGTGATAGTCCTTCAAAACAAAAAATCATCTGCTTTAACAATGACACTGTGGTGATTTCCTAGAACGCAAAAAAAGTAAACAAAGAATTTTTTTATTAAAGACCAAATAATATTTGTTCTTCTTTCGGATTATGCATACGGTTGGATTTATTAAATGTATCACGGAAGAATTATTGCCAAGAATGTGTATGTATTCTTTTAAAAATATGTTCCCAATTTTATAGGAAGTGAAATTTTTCTCGCTGAATTTTTGTTCTCAGTGTTGATTATTCGCTCTTTCGATCGAATTCATGGAACGGATTTTCACCGAATTTAAATACAAGAAGATGGATCTCAAGTGGGGAACTGTCATCAGTGCTGAGACCCTTTTATTTTGCTGTTCATCCGGATTTATTTGGACAACATCCTGAGCAAAGAGTAAGTCCGAAATAATTGAATCTTAATTTGACCAGAAAAAGTTCATTCTGCTTTTGTAATTCATAGAAAACAAATGAAGAGTCGTTGAAACACTTGAGCGCATACCTAGAAGCGTTACAAAATCAACGGATATCGGCAACGTCACCAAAACACATCAATTTCTACGTACGAAATCAAAACTCAAGAGGTTTGAACATTTTTTTAGTTTTTGGCAACATTGACTTAATCAGAATTTCTTTTTTTCCAGATTCATTTAAACTAATTCGAATACCACTCGAACGTGAACTGAATGCAAAGAAATTTTTAAAGTATATATTGGAGTCGTGTAGTTTATCCACGGAAAATGTGGAAAAAATGAAAATCAAAAAAGTATCATCAAGTGCCAAATTCCATTCGGATCGCAATGTGTACACGCGAGCGGATGGTTCAATTTATGAAGAATATGAAGTATACCGAACAACGGCACAAACTGCCAGACAAGAAAAGACTTTAAAGTATGAAGCTTCGTTCTCCGAAAATGCCCGAACATTTCTCAAACAAACGTTGTTTTTTTTTAAACATTCGAGAATTTTTCGAAAAGTTTGACAAAAAGTGTTTTCGGGAAATAGTCTGGCATTTTTTCTCAACGACAAAAAATTGATTGAAATTCACTACTTGCTAATCGGCTCGATTTTTCTTACAGAAAATGGTTAGACTCAAATGCAAAGACGGCCTCAGAGCGTGCCGAATCGGTGCAAACAATACGGGAGGATGTTGAAAAACTCGAAAAAGAGCTTGTGTCGAACTTGAAACTGGTTGGAATTGAATACGATTGTGCATGGAATTTCGAGCATATTCGTGGATGCTTGAAAAGTTTGGATCACCTGTCCAAAATACATCCAAATGAGATGAAATTTTTACACGCACGTACGATATCATTTGCAAGAGCATCGGGTGTGAGTTTAGAAGGTCATGTTATGTTATCCACTGAAGATGTTCAGCATAATTGGCTTGATGTAAGCTATCGATGTAATTTAATATGCTGGCAATGGCCATTTAGTATATCGTTTGTTTCTATTTTCAGTTCTTTAAAAATATTCCAAAGCAAGATGAGTATTTAAAGCATATTCCAGCTTATGAGCAGGCGCTGAGTCAAGTTTTACGTGAAATTAAAATTTCTCGGCGAAAATTCATGCCCAAAGCACAAGTCGTTCATTATGCAGGCTATTTGCGAAAGGTTACCACCTCAATGTTAGACTATTTGACACAATATTCACATTATCCAAAATCATGGCCAACCGATCTATCGAATTTTGAGATAGTCATTGAATCAGAAGCTGGACCATTGTGTGTCTCACCAACGGGGCAATTCATTGCACCATCCACTTGCCCGGGTACAATTTTGGTCGAGTTTTTGTCAACACATATGAACGAAGCCGCTGAAAAGGCTGAAGCATACAAGAAGTAAGATCGAAAGCATATTTTTTATGAAATAACGAGTAACTACAGAAAGATAAAAAAAATTATGATCATTTTGCAACCTTTTTAGGAATAAATTCATCGAACGAGAATTACACGAACAATGTATTCAGAAATTGGGACTGATCTCATTGAAAAAGGACGATTCAGTTGATCCGGATCGTATGATTGAATGCTTAACTCGGCTCATTGAATCCGATATCCATTTGAAAGATTGTAATCTACACATTACGCACTACTATTCGGTGCTATCGGACGGTACAATGTGCATACCATGGGATTGGGAATTTGAATAATTGTAGAAAGCTTAAAATTGTTTGAACTCTGTACAAAATTAGGATTTGCCATTTTTTTAAATTGTTCTGTTGTAAATTTTGTGAATATTATCATATGTACATTTTAACCATTCAGTTAATTGCTTTTAATTTTAAATAATAGATTAACAATAATTCATTTATAAGAAATTATCAATTGATAGTTGTTTTAAACAACAAACACAAATATATTCATTTAAAGAAAAAATATTTTTGAATTGTATATTTTTTATTAAATTTTTTTTTTTTTAAATCATTCAAACATTTAGAACATTTCAGTGTTCATATGCGTAATATTGGTTCGGACATGTTAGATCAAAATAATTCAATCTACAATTCATAACATGAATTTCATCGGAGGTATCCAATATGCCAGAGTAGTTTAGAAAAACTACGATAGAAGCATTGCCAACAAAATTTGAATAATTGGATTTGATGAGCATTTTTCTCTCATTTAAAAAAAATAATAAAAAAATCATTTTTCAGCAGCGGATATTAATAAATATATGATTAATTCACAATCAATGTAAAATATCGAATTCGAGTTGATTGCATTAATAATAATAAAGGTAAAATATTTGTTGAATTTTTGTATTGCATCAAATTGCCGAGGAATACCATGTTATTTTTTATTTTTATTTAATATTTTAAATTAAAGTGTCTCCAAAAAATAATTTCATTGACTTTGAGGCGAAGAACATCTTCAATCACAATCATGTGCACTTTGACCCATGTTCAAAGTCATTTAACATCTTCTTTAGAAGTTTGCACCGCATTTGAATTGAATTCAAAATTCTAAAATTCGAAAATTCGACATACATATTCGAATGAGGCGAGTGTCAATATTCAAATTAAAGCAATTTTACCAATAGGGTTTCAGTGTTGCCTTTGGTGATACAATACTGATATTTGTATAAGTTTCAATGAAAAACATATAACAACAAATGCTATGAAAATAATTCTAAAATTGATGTAATTTATTTATTTTTTTAATGTAAAAAAATACTTTATCCGAAGAAAGTTCATTTTTTGTTAAAAATAAAAAAAAAACGTTCGCATCATATCTAACGATTCTTTGTTTGTATGAAAATGAGAAAGTCCATTTGCATGAAATGTCAAATGTCAAAGCGTTGATGGCGCTGTTGTATGCTCATCATGTTCGGTGCTTGGTGCGCACGACAACTCATACATTGCGTTCGGTCATTTCATTTACGAATTTGAAGCCTGGCAGACAGAAGTGAAAAAGAGAAAAAAACGAGCTAAACAGTGAAGTGAATAAATTTTAACCAAAAAAAGAAGAAAATTTAAAGGTAATTATTTCGTTGAAAAAAATTAGAAATTGTTTGTTTTTGTATCATAAATGAAGGGAAATAGCGTTTTATATCGATTTCATATGAATATTCGTGGTTTTCTTTGGCGTGATAGAAGTAATTTGCCATTTTTCATTTCTCGTCGCTTTGACGGTGTTCGAAACGCGTGAATTGTCGTATGCAGTGAATGTATGTGGTTTCGTTCTCTGAAGCAATGTCGTGTGTTAGCCATCTTTGAAAAAATGAATCGGTGATTTTTTTTTTTATTCAAAAATTTATTCATTCGAATTGAATTTCGCGTGTAAATTGTTCGGAATTTTATTTTTATAAAGTTACGAATAAATAAATCTTGTTTTTATTTTTCATTCAGCTGGCATATCGGTTATGATGCGCGGTCGGAAATATTTTTCAATCGGTCTTTGTTCGCTTCTATTAAATGTTCAATCAAAATGTGGTAGTCAACATCGCCGTTGTATGGTACATATAGATATGTATAGGCGTATATAAATGGTGACGACGCCATTGCAAGCGCACATATATATATATATGTGTTTTGAAGATAGTTTCTTTTTTTCTCTCAATTTCAATCGTTGATACAATTTCCATTATGTTATAATGTAAATAAATATACCGAAGATAATTTTACGCTTCCTAACTGTATTTTCGGTTTATTCATATTTTTTTTTTGCTCGAAAAATTCGATTCATTTTCTTATCAAAAAACTACAAGAGAAAAAACGTTGTTTTCATAAAATTTCGTTGAATTTAAAAAAAAAACACATTCCGCATCGTTTCGGTACAAAGACAGAAAAAGAGCTTGGCTTGAATGCCCTTCTTTTGTTCATGTTTGTCTTTGTTCCAATTCAATTCAGATGCAATGCAGCATTTCTGCTATTTTCGACTTTCTCAAGCGAGCATTCTTTTTTTTACATTCTTAATGCCACATATAAATCATATACCGACAAATACATACACCGCATATACGTGTAACTGCTTACGAAAAATTTGATTTCCATTTTCGGCTGTTTTGCAAAAACTATTCATGCAGCACTGAATTTTGAGCGAGAAGACGAAAAAAAAAATCAAATCGGTGAAATCGCATATTCGCATATAGCGTATTGTGTTTGAAATAGAGTGTTGTTGGTACCGTTATATCGGCATGTCTGCAAGTGTTGCATCGACAGTGGAAAAAAACCAACAAATATTTATCACTGTGCTTGCCCATCACACGAATGAAAGGAAAATGAAGTGAATCGGCATAATTTTTTTTTCGTTCTCTCCGAACATTTTAAAGTTTTCGTTTGGTCAGCACTTATATCTTCCATTTGAATGGTGCGATGTTGTACAGCATCTGTTGTTCACACAAAGTAGAAGACGATCACTTTGTATCAGTTGGTTAAAAAAACACGTGTTTATTTTGTCGCTTCGAAGTCGACTTCACAGCGCGCGCCCCCGTTCGTTTCAATTGAAATCGAGATAAAGCAACGCACGCTATTTATAACATACCGCTACTTTAGACTTTTTTCATTTGCTCCCTTGAAGTGGATTTCATTTCATGTGCAATTTTTTTTATATTTTCTTCATTTAATTTACAGATATTGAATGAGATAATCACACGAATAAAGCGAAAAAAAATTAAATAAATTATTGTGTTTTAAAATCATTGAATTTTTGAAAGAGAAAAACTAGAAAAGAAAAATAGAGATTTTTGAAAAAAAAAAAAAACATTTTTGTGCGAACGTTTCAAAACAAAATAAATTATTTATTTTGACGTGTTAGAGATAACCGAATGGAAAATAAACAAACATTTTGTGGTACTAAAGACATTTATAGATATAATGAGTCGGACATAAAAGACAATTTAAAAGAAAGTGACTTATAAAACAAGTTGAACATTTAATACAATTTTTTTTTTCGTTCCAATGCAATTGGATCAGTTTTAGCGAATAAAATAATAAAAAAAATATCAAGAAGAACCAACACTTGAATGTTAAAAGAAAAAATAACTCGAAATAAAACGTGTCAAATTTCCGCAGCAAAGAAAATAACACAGAGAGAAAGAGAAAAAGAGAGAACGCTTGCACCGTTCTTATTTTGTTAAATTTTCTTAACATTTATTTTAGCATTCAGTTTATTGTACGTATATTAACTGTATTATTATATCATAATTTTTATTTTTAATAATCAATTTAAATACAATTAAAAGAAAAATCAACAATTCTACCAAGAAAACGACACGATTCGTATATATTATATTGAATCGTAGCACAAAACATTTAAAACAAAACTAAATAATCATAAAGAAAACAAAATCGCCGATTTAAATCATTTTGTGTAAGTGTTAGAGCCAAGTGTGATCACTCTTTTTAATTTAAAAAAAAAAACATCCAAAATGATGACAGAAAACATGTCGAAGAATCATCTAGCCAACCATGCACTCCCAAAAAGGTAAATACCTCTTCCACAAATTACATTTTTCTTTATTTTGATGCATTTATTGTGTTCATTTCACATAAAAATTTGATTTGAATTGAATGTTTACGTTTAAAATGGTTGCCATCGCATTTACATCTTCAACATGAAACATTTTAATCTTATTTCATATTGTCATTAATTTCATACATTTTATTTTCATTAATATTCACCAAAACGGCCAATCAGTTGAGTAAGATGAATGTGAAAGTTGCATTTGATCTAAATTATGATAGGCCAGAGTAAACGGCATGCTCTGCTCACTCCATGGAATATTTTGCCCATTTAACCAGGGAAATATTCTACTCATCGCAGAATAACAACTCAATTGAAACAGAAAAAAAAACGAAAACTACTGCTTGCATGCTATGAAAGCACATTTTTCCATTTTTTCCATTTATGTTTGCTTTTTTGTTCTTTTTCATTTCTCCCTCGCTCGCTCTACATTCATCGTGAATCACACTAATTTGACATTGAACTCGTCCAATGCCAAACCATTTTAACCCATTTCATCGTCAACTTATCACCTTTTTTCCATTTCTTTATTGAATTTCTGCAACTACCAACACATTTTGCTTATAAGAGAATGCTTATGCATCCATTGCGCGGCCAACCAGTTGAGTAAGATGAATGTGAAAATGGCATTCGATCTAAATTTGGTTTGGCCAGAATAAACGATATGCTCTGTTCACTCCATGGAATATTTACCGTATTTTTGTCAAGGAAATATTCTACTCATCACAGAATAACATTCAATCCATGATGGCTTTGCTTTTGATTTTTTTCAAGTTTTGAAAAAACTCTCACATTCAAACAATTATGTCATTGAGAAAAATATCATCATTTCATTCAGAAACAAAAATGTGTACTTTAAACAATGTTCAATGTAAAATGCGAACGGCGATACTAAAATAAACATTGATATTCATGGAAAATGATTGAAAAATAGGCCAACCTGTTGAGTAAGATAAATGTGAAAATTGCATTTGATCTAAATTATGGTCGGCTAGAGTAAACGGCATGCTCTGCTTACTCCATGGAATATTTTGCCCATTTAACCAGGAAAATATTCTACTCATCGCAGAATAACATAATTTCTACAATTTTTTTGTTTTCCAATTCAATCGTATCGGAGCTAATTCGAAAAAAATTAAACAAATATTTTTCTTTTTGCCCATTTGTGTCTGAATAATTGTAGCGACGGTAAACTAGCAATGCCAACGGGAAATGAGCTGGACATAACCGGTTGGAAATCGAAATTGAAGGTGCCGCCAAAGGATAATCGTATCAAAACTAGCGATGTAACAGATACACGTGGCAATGAATTCGAAGAATTTTGCTTAAAACGTGAACTATTGATGGGCATCTTTGAAAAAGGATGGGAAAAACCATCACCAATTCAAGAGGCAGCCATACCAGTTGCATTGGGTGGCAAAGATATTTTGGCGCGTGCCAAAAATGGTACCGGCAAAACCGGAGCATATTCGATTCCAGTATTGGAACAAATTGACTCAACAAAGGACTGCATCCAGGCATTGATCATTGTGCCAACCAGAGAATTGGCGCTTCAAACGTCGCAGATTTGCATCGAACTAGCAAAACACCTGAACATTAGAGTAATGGTGACCACCGGTGGCACTGTTCTTAAGGATGATATTATGCGAATTTATCAGAAAGGTAAGTAAACTTTTTACATAAAAAGATAAATAAACAACAACTGAAAATTATGATGAGTTCTACGGATTCCCCAACATTTCAATAATAAATGAGAAAAAACGACACTGATTCTTTTCTGTGCCATTAATTTAATGGAATCAAAAAAAAAATATAGATGTGCCATTACTAACTCTCTATCTCTTTTCATCGCCATATTTAGTTCAACTTATTATCGCAACGCCCGGCCGTATTCTTGATCTCATCGACAAAGAAGTTGCAAATATGTCGCAATGCAGAATGCTCGTACTCGACGAAGCCGATAAACTTTTGTCACAGGATTTCAAAGGCATGCTGGATCATGTTATCATGAAACTGCCAAAAGAATTGCAAATTCTACTGTTTTCGGCCACATTCCCGCTAAGCGTGAAAAATTTCATGGACAAACATTTACGCGATCCATATGAAATAAATTTGATGGAAGAGTTAACGCTCAAGGGTGTCACACAATATTATGCGTTCGTTCAGGAACGTCAAAAAGTTCATTGTTTAAATACATTGTTCTCAAAATTGCAAATCAATCAGTCGATCATTTTCTGTAATTCAACGCAACGTGTCGAACTATTGGCTAAGAAAATCACCGAATTGGGCTATTGTTGCTACTACATTCATGCAAAAATGGCACAAGCGCACCGAAATCGGGTGTTCCATGATTTCCGTCAAGGGCTATGCAGAAATCTAGTCTGCTCCGATCTATTTACACGTGGTATTGATGTACAGGCTGTGAATGTTGTTATCAATTTTGATTTTCCGAAAATGGCTGAAACTTACTTGCATCGAATTGGTCGATCAGGACGTTTTGGACACTTGGGTGAGTAATATTACATTTATCATTTGGCGTTTATTGTTGTTGCTTCAATACTTGATTTATTCAATTGTTGAAATAAAATAAAGAAAACAGAAAATTATGATGAGTTCTACGGATTCCCCAACATTTCCATTATAAATGAGAAAAAACGATACTGATTTCTGTTTTCTTTAATCAATTGCAAGTCAGATCACGTTTTTTTCTTCTATTTCACAAGATTCTAATGATTTTGATTTGAATCACCAGGTATTGCCATCAATCTCATCACCTACGAAGATCGTTTCAATCTTCATCGCATCGAAAAGGAATTGGGCACAGAAATAAAGCCAATACCAAAGGTCATTGATCCAGCGTTGTATGTGGCCAGTGCACCAAACGATTCGCTAAGCAGCAACAATGAGAGTATTGTCAGCAAGTAAGCCATCCTCCTCATTCAAATCATTTCTCATCTAAAGATAAAGGTACCATTTTGCAAAAATAATACAAAATTAAATATTAAAATAAACGATGAAATGAGGACAGCTATAAAGAAGAAGAACAAAACAAACTGAAAAAAAATTATCTATTGTCAATACCACTCGCCTACTGTTTTTTTTAAATCTACCAAATTCAGAGCAAAACTAAAAATAATCATAATTAAAATTACAATATATAAAATGATAAAGTAACTAATTTTACAACAAAAAAACAAAAATACAATACAAATTGAGAGAAAAAAGGAGAGATAGTGAGAGATAAACTAAACATTCAAAGTGTTAGGAAAGGGTAAATTATCAAATGTGAGTAATCAGTTTTAAATTGTGAAAGTAATAGAGTGAAAATACACGCGATTGATTTTTACTCGAAAAACAGCCGCCCTTTAACGAATTATGTTTGAATTTAAATTAAAAAAAAATGAGTAAAAATGTGCATAATTCTTGACATATAGAAAAGAGAAAACAAAAGACAAACAAATTTTTAGCATCAATTGCAATTTTGTTGCGCAAATTAAGAGATTATCGAAAAAAAAATTGTATTGAAAAGGGATATTTATCAATCGCGTTGTATAAATATTAAATGAAAAATCACAGAAATACACATAAACAAGAACAAACCCACACACACACTCACACACACACATATATACCGATAATAATGAAAGAAAAAATGTAAACATAGTAACAAACTAAAATAAAGAACTGAGAATAACTTTTGAGGATGAGAAATAATGTCGGTGCATGCGTTGATTGATGTGCAACATTTTAATTAAAAGTAATACAAAAAAAAAATCACAAACAAATTACTAAATCTATATGTATATATAAGAAAAAGGACTCTGTTTAAAGAAGCTTTTTTTTTGTGTGAGAACACATTTGAGATAACAAAACTAATAGAAAACTGAACCGAACTGGGTTCGATGAATCATTTCTTTTTAACCGTATGCATCAGACAATTTCTCGGAAGCAATTCTCATCTACAGATGATAAAAAAAAACAAACAAAAACTCATTCAAATTACATTAAAAGAACCAAATTTAATGAAAAGAGATCAACAACAACTTTATTGTATTACGATAAATAGTAAAAAAAACATCAACAAAATACCAAGGAGTAGTAGCATGAGAAAGAAAATTGAATTAAATAAATTTGTATGTTGTCACAGAGGATGCTAAATTGTGTAGGATGAAATTTGAAAAAAAAATTCAACTCTTTTTTATAATTTAATAAAATGAACCAACACAAACAAAAATGATAAATAAATGTTCCAATAATGCGAGAAAAGTTACAAATAAATACGAAATGGAACACAAGAAACGAACGTTTGAATTGAATGCAACGGTTTTTTTAAGAAAACAAAAAATGACTTGAAAGAAAATGATTTGGAAAGTGACACGATTTTTTTTAAAAGACGAATGATTCTTTACTATGGAAATGGAACTAATATTCTTTTTGGCCGTGAATGGTCATTTCTGCCTTTGTTTTCCATTTTTTACGTTTCATATCCGCAAATTAATAACATCACACACCGTAAACAATAGACATACAACAAAGAATAAGTCTTTATTTTTCTGTCTATTTTTTACGGATCACAGTCGAACATATGATAATACTTACGTAGAGATTTTTGACAGATATTCCAAGCAAATACAAATTTGAAAAAAAAAAATACAATTTTTTTGCCTGTGACTCGATTAGAAGGAGAAATGCATTCTGTAAATAATTTTTTTTTTTTGAAATGGTACCATGATAACCGTTTTTTTTTGCACTCATGACTTATGCAGATAATCGTGAGCAAAACCAAAGGAACGAAAAGAAAAAAAAAGTCATAACATCAGTGTATAGCGCATAAACATGATTTTACTAAAGAAAAACACAAACAAAAATATATATAAATTAAGAAATCACATTTGTACATAACAGTATCCAATTTTGGGAGCGGAAAAAAAATTACACATAAAGAGACACATGTGACACAAGTGTTTTCATACACATTGAATGTTTTTTTCTTTTCTTCGTGGGGTTCTCTTTGCGCAGATTTAACAATATCCATTTGTTCACAACACAAATTGCGTTTAACAACGATATCATGATAATTAAAAAAAAATCAAAAATTTTAAAGAAAATTTAGAGTATTATTGGCAGAAGTGAACAAAAATCGCGAAAAAATGAAGAATTTGTTGAATTTTCCAAAAAGTCAATTCGCATTGAGAATCCATTTCGTACCATTGTCACATTGTAAATGCGATTTCGAATGAGAGTGAATCGTCAGTCTCAAGGCAACTGTATCAGAAATATTGTATCATTTCTGTTGTGGAATAAGCATCTAGCCTCCTCTCATTCTAAAAAAAAATCACATTCAATCATCATTCTACGTAGTTGCCCTTTTTAAAACGAAGTGTATTTAAAAAAAAAAGAAATAGAAATGATCGAATTCAATGGGCTGAACGTATAGTAGTAATAAGATGTGAAACGTGTTTATTTTTATTCGTTCCGTTTTTTTTATTTCAATTATTTCTCGCTTTAATTATGTCAGAACCATTATCTTTTAAACTAACAAAAAACATTCAACAAACAAAAAAGATGGTAAATTGAACGACTTTCTTCCCTTGTCACATTGAACAATAAATCAACGGTATTTCTCCGCATTGCAATGAAACAAAAAGCCAATTGATCGAAAGACAAATAAACTAATTAATAAACGATAGAGACTAGATAAATATTGTGTAAATAAAAATAATATTTAACGAAATCAATGATGAGAATGTGGAAGCGAGAATGATGGAAAGTGAAAAAGAATACAAAAAAATACAAGATTTATTTACATATAGATCATTTTATAAAACGACTTTGCCTCTTTTTGCGAGGTTTTAAAAGAAATTTGAAACGTAAATTCCGTCGATTACATACAGCAAAAAACACGAAAACAAACAAAAAAAAATATTTATTTAAAATGAAACAAAGAATATGACGAGGATTTAAAAAGAAACAAACATGTTTGAGCTATTTTTTTTAAATTGGGGAACATTGAAATATATAATATCGTTTGTGGATCGCGTATGCGATCGCATCATCGAGAGAAATATCGTTGATTTAACTAAAAGAAAGACTGTTTATCCCTTTTTAAAATGCGAATTTATCTCTCATTTCAAGCAAACAAACACACACACACACACACACTCAGCAACACAATATCATTCGCCGAAGATTTTGCTGAGTCAAACACACTTCGATTGATGCAATTTATATGCGTGCCATGCAAAATTGGCAATGCAAGTGTGTGCGGTGTGAGCGATCAAAATGTGATTTTTTTCCATTTTTTATGATATAAAAAAAAAACTTCCGACAAAAAAAACACTGCATAAAAAATTATCAAAATAGCTCTCAATAGCTATTATACATTTGTAATTGAGAATATAGATTTAAAAAAAGTGTTCATTTGAAGACATTTTCCATTTCGATTCGTTTCACTTGACAATGTTGTACATCCCGAAAATTCGGCCCATTTATTTGAAGGTCTGGTTTTTTTTCTGGAAAAGCGAACGAAAAACATAACAAAAAAATCCAGTATCACCGGAACAAAACAATAAATGTTGACTAAAAAAATCAAAACAACACGGTTGAATACATCAATAAATTCAAATAAATGAGCCGAAAAAAACCATTTGAATCTCTTTACATATTTGTCAAGTGGAATCAATTCGAAAATTCGACTTTTATTCAAACTTTCTGCATTTTTTCCCATTACGTCTTTTTTTGGTTAAGAAAAACAAAAAATTTTTTACAGTGCAATCGCAATAAAACAATTTCATTTGTGCGATAAAGTATATATTTTTTCAATATAATAATTCCAAAGCATTAGTAGTACTTATAAACATTGAGCATAAAGAAATTAAAAGAGAGTTATCACAAATATCGAAGGGGAAGAGAAAAAAAGATGTTTTGGTAGTACGAATTAATGAAAAATAATACGAAAAAATGAATATAACTCAAAATGAAATTGCACAAAGAGTACCTGTTTTTTAAACGAAACAAAATTTTAAGTGCGAAATAAAAACAAAACAATTCGGAAAATGATAAAAAATAAAAATTGGTGAGATAGAGAAAATTGAATGAATTAGACTCAGATGTACCCACCTAGAAAATGTCCGAATTAAAACTTGCAAACAAACAAACAAAATAGAACTATTTTGAGCTGAAATAAAAACAAAGATCAATCAGCAAATTAAACACTAAACCGAAATCTTTCCGAAAAAAAAAACAGAACATCATATTCAAAATCGTTCGCACAAATGATCACCATCCGATGTCTAAGAAAGAGATTCAAACATTTTAAAATGGTTCCTTCGTAACCGACGGCCAATATCATCAGGTCGGATCGATGCAGCGTTTTATGATTAGGAACCATTTTAAAATGGACACACAAACACATATTATTCATACAAAATTACAGAAAATACATGAACATTTACAAAAAATAAAACAAAAACAAATGCAATAGCCCGAAAGCCGATAAGACGTTATCATAATACACACAGAAATTCTTACATTTAGGCAATAATTTTTTTATATTTAGGCAAATTTGGTGATAAAAAAAAGCAAAATTCAACAGCAAAACAAAAACAGCTTATCGGCGAGAAGTCATTCCGATGTGAACTTGTGATTATTTTGGAATAAAGATCACATTTGAATGGCTTCACATCTGTAAGCAACCATCATCATAATATATGTGATATCGTAAGAAAATGTACACTTACGCTCGATTCGAAAAACGCTCAAATCAATTAATTTTTTCATCAGCAATTTTCTTTTTATTTGAAAAAAAAAAACCACACGATTTTCTGTAATTTTGTAAAAATAATATAGAGAATTTAACATCAAATCGCTGCATAGAGGTGTCTATGATACCCTAAATGAAATTACTTCGATAATTTCAAAGAATGAAAACAATAAAAAAACTGACAAAAAAAACGCCAACAAATGAATTTAAAATTGGTCCGACAATTGGACATTCGGCAAAAGAATAAAAATTAATATCAGGGTAAATATCAGAAACAATCCGTTTTATATTCTGTTTCAATGCCAAACCGAGGTTCGAAGCTTTATTTTTTGCATACGATCGAAGCAGCGAATCAAATTCATTAGATCGATTTTTAGATATAAATAAAAAACTTATTCGCATCAAAATCTAATCGATCGAAATTGTCGACTATTTCTAGAATTTATTTTAAGCAAACATTGTATTCAAAAACGATCTGAACAATACAATTTAACAACAATAACAACAACAAAATGCTTGAAATAAAAGAAAAAAAAATCATTTATTGGCACCAAAAAAAGACTTTCGTATTTTATTTTCAACAACACTCCTCTTTCGGGTTTTAATTTTTTCCAGATCTTTCAGACTTTCTACAAAAAAGAAAAGGTAAGAGTGTTAAATCTCTAGAAAGATTTTGCTTTGACAAAAAATCCCCTCATTCCATACTCTTCAATGTATATAAAAATCCATGATGTTACATGAACTAAACTGAATCAAAAAGACTGTTTCGCTCCGAATGTGGCGACATCTCTTGTACAATGGTCGAACTAATTTTTTTACGTATTTCGTCTTCGATTGCGAATGAGGTTTGTACAGTGGCTGCTTTGACATTTGACTTATGTCTTGAAATGACAAAACACAAAAACACATCGAAACACTGTTGATTAGCAATTATTCGGCATTTTCTCCTTACTCTTTCGAAAAATCCCAAAGAAAAATCATTAGTTATTAAAACACTCCATTGGATTTTCAGCTGATGTCCTTTCTTTTTCGGAATAAATCCATTCATAATTGGTAAGTTTGTGCGGTTATCAGTGAACATTAAAAGGTGACGTGTTGGCATTTTTGTTGCACTGCTATTGATGTCAATTAGAATAAAAATCAATTTTCATTATTGTATGAAAAACCGAATTTTCCATACATTTCCTACGATTTGTTTTTTTATTTGTATTCATTTTTTTAATTAAATAGATACAAAAAAATGGCATATGATCAGCAAAATTACAACAATTGGAATACTCCACAAGATTCATACAATTTCGATATGCCCGAACAATTTGGTGGCGAACTGTAAGTAATTGATCCATTGATTGAAAAGCATTTAGTATAATTATCGGTATTAATATGATTTCTTCCAATTTAAATAGAAATTTCCAATCGTTCGATGCAAGTCAAAATGTAGATGTAAGCAATTTCGCAAATGCCGGCTACACTGGCTCGTACTATGATCCAAATGCATATGCTGCACCCGATCCCATTTATGACGGTGCTAACAGCGATTTTGACAATGAACCACCCCTATTAGAAGGTAGTCTAGTCACAGAACTAAACAAAAAAAAAGAAACAAACAAATAATTTCTTTTCTGTATTTTAATAGAACTCGGTATCAATCCAAATCATATTTTACAGAAGGTAAATCCAATCATGTCCAATTTTTTTTTCATGGTTATTAATCAATGTTGTTTATTACAGACGTTGTCGGTGTTAAATCCATTACGAACGACAGATCAAACGATTTTGCAGGATACCGATTTGGCTGGGCCGCTTGTGTTTTGTCTAGCATTCGGTTCATTTTTACTTCTTGTAAGTTTATTTAAGAATATTGTCAAAACGGTCATTTTTAATTGATTTTTATTGATGAAAATTCAAAAATTGATATTTTTATTCACAGAGTGGCAAAGTGCACTTTTCATACATTTATGGCTTTGGAGTTTTTGGGTGTATAGCATTTTGGGCCTTGTTGAAAGTGATGACAACTCAAGATTCAGTTAATATTGGGGCTGTTACATCGGTTTTGGGATACTGTTTGCTTCCAATCGTTGTACTATCAGGAGTTAACGTTCTTTTTACGTTAAAGTGAGTAACAGATAATTCCAATGAAATTAGTTAAATGAAAATCTCAAAGAATGAAACTGTTGCAACGCTCGTCATTTTGGCTCATCTCTGAGAATAAAATCTTTCTTTCGATACCATAATTTGAATTTTTTGTGGATTTCTAAAGTAAAAACTCAAATTAAGAATGGTTTTTTCCAACGTGTCACTACCTTGAACGTGTATCTATCTTGAAGATTCTCATTAAAATTTCAAATAACGGATGTTCCTTCAGCTTGTATTCATATTTTGGCATTCAGAATAAATTCAAATTATAGCACCAGAAAAAAAAAACCCAGAGGATATCAAAAGGAATGAGCCTCGGCCAGTTGTCATTGAAATATAGTATAGTCAGTTCGGTCGACTTTTTGATGATATTTCCTTTGATTTTTTTTTTGTTTCACTTTAATTCAAGAAGAAGTTCAATTTAAAAAAGATCAATTTTCAAAACTAATCCCATTTTTTTCAATTTCCAGAGGTGTATTTGGTATTGTCCTAACGAGTGTATGTATCTTATGGTGTTCGGCGTCTGCCTCAAAACTATTTGTGACTGCATATTCAATGGAACACCAGCAAATCTTGGTTGCATATCCGTGTGCATTGCTCTACGGTGTTTTTGCATTGATTACAATTTTTTAGAAAAAAAAAGCTGTTCGATCTGAGAAAGCGATGAAATGTTAAAATAAGACCAGGGTTTAAAAATAACAAATAACCAACAAATCAATCTAAATACATTTTGAACAAAAACATCAAAAAATTGTACATTTTTCACATATTCGAAAATAAACTATATTGTAATGTTTGTATAACCAAAAAAAAAAAACATCAAATGTTGCTGCTTTTCTATTCAGAGATGAAAACATTGGATGAAAAAAAGACATGGCGCAATGTGGTAAATAATGAGTGCGGAATTGGAGTGAAACAGCGTGTCGCTTGTTGTTTGCGTTAAATTATATTTCCGAATACATGAAACATGCATGACGAATGCATATTTGCATCTCTCGCGCATTTAAATGAATCGAAATTCATATAAATTATTTTGTTAAATTTATATTAAAATTCATTCAGTTGTGTGTGCTCGGCTGTTATACACGATATACATGATTAAATGGTGCATGACGAAGTGCGATATTCAATTCAAGCAGCACAGCACAGACACAATCGAATCGGATTGATATTGCAATGTCTCTTTGATTTATGACATGCTCCTAAACAACGAAAACTGGATATAAAATATCAGGATGTGACTTTTATTCATGCACATTTGAGTTCATTTTTTTTTCTTTTTTCAGAAATAAACAAAAAAAATGATTTTTCAAGCACAATGGCATTGTGCAAAAGGGCATTCTGGATATTGCAATTTCAGAACGCTTTACACTGTCGAGCGAGAATGTAACAGATCATAACAACAACAACAACAGTAATTGGATTGGAATGTCAACGATAATAAAAAAATTCTGCACACACAACAGATAGATAGCGAATAACATTAATTTTCTAGTTGAATTTAAATGGATGCATGTAAACAACTATTGCCGTTGATTCGCAATGGCAAAACATGTGTTTGAATTTTGGTTTATTCATTGATTATCAACACGGAAATTATGAACTTGTCTGGTATATCTCTCGCAATTTGCCCACAAAAATCAAGTCCGCTTGGCAACGAGCTGCTGCGATGAATATTCAATTTGAGCTATCGGCCCATGGTTTTGGACTTTTAATTTGGCTTAAATTCTTGATGCTTTATTACATTTTAAATCCGGAGTGAAATGTGTTTCTTCATTTGCACATAGCAAACATAACGAATTCCTCGAAGTCATCAATTGAATAATGCTCACAGTTTCTCATATGTACTTTTCCGATGTGGATGATTCCGCATGGAAAACCTCATCTCTGCTGAATTAGACTCGGAAATTAAATACCACAATTTAATTTGGTTGAATGTTTATTTTTTTGGGTTGAAAATGAGTTTTCTTCCTCATCTTTTTTTTCTCGCTCTCTTCAGTCTGTGTTCCGGTTTGCCGTTTAAAAATCTATTTTCATTGTCGCTATAAATTATCCCATTAAGTGTGGTACTCATACTTGAATAAATTTGCATTTGGAGCTGCTCGCGACACAGTCGCTATCATTATTCTAACTTTTTTTATTTACCCTCTCGTCGTTCGTAAATGAAACTAATCATCGGGAGAGAGAGAGGGAGAATGAAATTCACCACAAACACACTACTATTGAGCATTTTAGTGATCTAACGTTTCAACGCTGCGACGAACCGACTCATTTCACAACGAACCAGTATAAAATCGTAAGCACATTTAATGGGCTTTTTTCTATTTTCGTGTTGACACACTCTCTCTCTCTCTCCTTCTCTTTGCTCTCCATTCCTATCTCTTTCTCGCTCTCTCTCTCTCATCCATTCTCCGCATTTCATAAAGTCTCGCTTTGCGTTTGCTGAGTAGCAGTGAGATGATTGTATAATGATACGCAAACACTTCGGGTATTTCCAGTGACAGCAACAAACAAAATCACAGTTTTCATTTAATTATTTTATTCCCAAAGTATTTAACTTTTGATTCCGCGCATAATAATACTTTGATTTTCATCTTTTCGCTCTTTCGTGCATCGCACAACATCCCCATTTTTATGACTCATGTGCGCTCGCGAGCAAAGCAATTTCATTTAAACTTCGTATCATTTTAAAAGGATTTATATAATCCTGCTGCGTTTTTTTTCTCCTTTTTCTCTTATTTACACGCCAAAATGTGTTATTTGCGTTATTCTTCTTACTACGCGTATTTCGCCGAATTTTAGAAGAAAAAAACAAATAATCATTTTGGAGCAATCGCTTTTTTCTCACACACACACACTCACATTCGTTGCGGTAGATTTCAACCGTACGAATCATATTTGGAAAAAGAAAAGCAAAATATAAGAAAATTGAATGAATTTATTGTGAATATCTGGAAAATGATGGATACATTCATTTGTCTTATCACAAATCTTTATACTCTCGCACTTTTTTTTCTGCTTTCGGGTGGCTCATGCGTCTGCCAATGAACTTTATCAAATGATTTTTCAGGAGCAATCACCCAAGTGTCTGTGTGATTTGATACGGCTATGAAACGGTTCATATTCACACTGTGAATTTTTCCAGAGCACTTGATTTTTGCAATTCAACATTCACAATTTAATACTAAAGCACACTTACTTTCTCTCTATGCGATAGAAAAAAAATATGAAATCATGGGAAAGAACGAGAGGACGATAGAGAGAGAGAGAGAGAACTCATGACTATTTCTCATTTTCATTTGCTTATTCATTATCATGATTGCATATTATCCACTTTTGTCTGTTGCTTCGACTCTTATGTCACTTTTTCTTCAGACTTTTTTCATTCTCTATTCTATGTTTATTGTTTTTCGCAGAAGTGTGTTTTTTCCGTACCGCTCTCTTTGTCTTTCACTCCCTGAATGTAAAGGATGAAAAAAAAACTCACCAATTTCACCCTGTTTTATTCATCCGTTTGATGAGAACATTCAATGAAGACACTTTAGTTTTTATGAAACATGAAAGTTAGATTCTTCGTTGAAAAGCGTGCTCGTTGTTTTTTGTTGGAAAAGAATGCTTGATTTGTAATTTGTGTTTCGTAGTAATCAGCGTCTTCTTTTATTTTACTGATGAAAATTCATTCAGACAAATGTTCGTCCGACGCGAACGACAGAGAGAAAGAGAGGGAAAGAGTGAAAAAATACCACTTATATGTTTATCATTCGTTGCTCTTTATTAATAAATTATACATTTGAATGGTTTTGTTGTATTTGAACAACAAACTCATTTTACACAAAAATCAGTAAGCAGATGGAGAGTTTTGATCCTTCAGATGCACACATCATATTTTTTCTATCCTTCGTCCACAATCCAAATTTGTTCGTTGTCTTATCAAGATTTATTCGGATTTCCATTGCAAAGTCAGTATAAAAACACCATATCGAGAACGGTTTCCTCTTGTCGTTAGCATGCGTGCACAATAAAAACCGGTTGATGAATGCATCCATCCCGAAAAAACAAATCTCTTTTCCATCTTTCCCCAATGGCGTTCAAATAAACAAAAAACAAGGATTGTAATAAGATTACAATCAAATAAGATGCGAGACGGTGGTATAATGTTTCCCAAAACAGAAATACATACACCCAAAAGAAATATTTACGTTTGCACCGTGTCTGTATTCAACTTCTGCTTCAGCATTCTTCATTTTTAATTCAAACGCATGATACCGTGCACGACGCTTTTATTGAATAAACAACGAGAGAGAAAAAATTGTGATTTTTTCTGAAATGAAATCAGATTTGAAATGAAAAACTAAACAATCATTTTTATTTGATGTGAACGCAAAATATACACGCGAGAACATTGGAAATTATTCAACGACATTATTACTATGTAACACCGTGGCATTCACAGTTCAAACACATGACCGCGAAAACCAAAATATGAGTTATTTAACAAACGAATCGATATTTATGACAATGAAACCACCATCAAAAAATTGCAGTGGTTTATACACTTATGGCGCATATTATAGCAATATCCATTCCGTACGCACATAAAACAATGCCAGCATAATCACCTAATGCATTTGATATCATGTTATTGTGGTTATCATTCGATTTAGATATCAAAATACTTAAAACGATTGAGCGCTTAGACATATACAGAGTGTTCCAGTCACTGGGGCGTACATATACAGTGGAATCCAGTGTGGTGGGAGCGGATCATAGTTGAAGGAGAAAAGAAGCAATATGATTTGCAAACTGTCACTAGATCATTTGGGGTTTTAGAGAAAAACATATTCATACACAAGTTAACATCCAACAAAAGTCATGCATTTGCGTCATCACACTTCGTATATTGTAATCCGCTGTTTGTTGTGTACTAAATGAATTATGTTTACAGGGTGGACCAGAATAACTGAAGGGTTTATATGTTCGGACATATTTATGTGGAAAATGATAATTCAATGAAATTAATATATTCTTCACGACCAGATATTTACGACCGTTTAAAATAGTTTTTGGATAATGTTTTTTTATTCACTTATTTTGGAGCCTTTTTCTGAAAAAGAAGAGCCTGGCGTAGCCAACATAAAGACATTGTGGTTTTGCTGGTCAGTTATTTTACTTCCTTAAGCATCAAAAGGAAAACTATTTGTGTTTCGAGACTTCGCCACGACTGGGCCATATAGTCGACCGAAGCAACTTTCGTACTGCGTTCGATTTTTTTCTGGCACATTGATGTCTCCAAAACGAACAAAAATTTTTGGAAATCACGTCTGGCTGATTAATTACAAACTCTACACAACGCAAAAAAAAAATCTCAATTTGGTTGAAAAATTTGCTTTTTTTCTCCGTAACCCTTCAGTCATTCTGGCCCACCCTGTAAAGCAAAATGTTTATAATAATAATGATGTTTCTTTCATTATTCATTGAATGTGCATTGGTATGTGTGTGATGTAGATTTAGTTTAATCAACAAGCTATATATGCATGTACATGTGTAAGTCATGAATGCCTGTCGCACGATTTGCGTAAAATCGTAATTTTATTACTCTGGCCACATAAAATATGAACTCGTTTGTGTTTGCCACTTTTTGCACATGCATGATTCTACGTAAAGCGATGCGATTTTCGATTAGATGCCCATATTTAAATCGGTTAAATGGGAAGCAAATGTAGAAAGCAAAAAATAGCATAAATTGATCTATATGACAATAAATGTGACATACGTTGAATTTAATCTAATATATTTTTGGTATTCAAATCAAACATTCCATTTGTAAATAACTTAACGCACTTTTTTTACAGAAATCTCTTCTCCTATTTGAGATAGGGTGTTCAATTTGTTTAACACAGAGCAATAAATATGTCACGGCAACGATGGTCGACATATTAACTGATGATTATCGTGGACCGAAAAAACTGTATCGAACAAATCGATTGCAATAAAGCCATTTCTAAATATATGTAAATCAAGTGGTGCATACTCTTTTTCATAGTGCTTTCGTAGTTTTTGGCCAATAGCTAGGGTGAATAAATGTGTAATTTATAAACATTTTATGGCATCGTACTTAATTAAATAATGTGGCTGGTGTGAGTGAAAACATTGCCAATAAAATTGAATTTATTGTGTAAATCGAATTTAAATGGCATAATATTCCAAAGCAATACACAATAAATGTGTGACAATGTTTCAATGCGAAGTAATAACAGCCGATGTGTAAGGATTAAGGAAATGAGTCCTGTCAAAATGACTGGTTGCGAAATTATTGAATAAATAAATTGGCCTTTTCGAAGTTTTGTGAAAATTTACTTTTCTCTCCATTTCATTCATTTTTCGCTCTCTTTTAGATTAGTAAACGAAATGGAAATGAAATATGAGCAAAAATGAGAAAAGTTTCAACTGAATGTATAGCCGAATCGGGAAGAAGCAAAGTCATTTGAACAGTGTAGTTGCACAAACTAATAGATAAACTATTGAATTCGAGGGAAAATTGCCACTTCAGTTTTAAAGCATAAATGCTAAACAAATACGTGATGTGCCAAGAAAATGTTCAAGTGAAGACATATACGTATACACTAACACTTGCGTTTGCATTTAACGAATCACTCCTCCTCCCTGCGTCGGCACACATGCACACACACACATTTTATTTGCTTAAAGCCATTTCTTGAAGTGTTTTGTCGATGCGCTTTTATTTTATGTTAAAATTGAAATTCGGCATATGTGCAAAACTGGAAACGGAAGGTGGAGACAATGCTCGTTTACATTGCAATTGAAAAATCGTTTGGGGATGGGGGATGCTATAAATGAAAATCTCAATGGAACGTGATCTAGTAATTCAATTGCAAAAAAAAACAGAAAATGTAGATTTTTGCTCACTGCTCTCCGCCATGCAGCCATTTGAATTGAAACGAAGAGGAAAAAATCATTTCTCTATTTAGATTTAAATGCTTTCGTGTCATATAAGTTTTACGGTCGACGTTTCGCTCTCACGAAATTTATCCCAAGCATTCACGGAAGCAACGTAACTCATCACACACATACGCAGTCACACACGCTATCGAGACATTTGGGTAGATTCTCGACACTTAGATTTTATTTAAAGCTCGAAACTTTAAACGATAAATGTTAAACTTTACGTACCGTCTTTTTTATATGTAACGTCTTATTATTCTTTCAACAAAAACTCGATTTTCAATCAGAAAAACTTTCGGACACTTATTCAACGGCGGGTGTATGTGTGTGCATATGCAGAACAGGGAGAAACGGAAATCGTACCATCAGCTAAAATTGCATAATAAATAATATTTGACGCATAACATATAAATTTCTTGTTCCACCACCTGAATGATTTATTTGGTTACATTTTCGAACAACATTTGCATCGTAAATTATTATTTTACGATAAAGACCAATGGTTGAGAATAACAGCGGACGAAATGCACACAACCATCGCACTCTCATACACACGATTATAGATGTTTACACTTGATTTTATTTCCGTGCCGAATTTCTCAGCACCCTTGTAAATTCATTCCATCGACCGCTTCACAACCGATTTATATGCAAGTTTGTCCCATGGTCATATACTTGTCTCAACTAGCACAGAAACTTTTTCGCCTTTTGGTCAATAATCGATTTCTTGGCGAAAATTCAGTTTTCGATATAGCAACGATTTTATCGTCACGAATTTTGCCTCACGATTCAGCGAACGAAACGAGTTTTACGAACAAAACAATTTGGCAGATACTGTCATGATAACTGAACACATTTATTTACGTGACGATCGTACACAATTTATTTCTCTGGGGCGCATATCCGTTTTGAGATTATATATTTGAATAAATGTTTACAATCCGATTTAAATTTATATTTTTTTTTTTCCTTTTTTTCAACCAATGAATTAACATTTCAAAGTTCAACAAACTCATACATTTTCTACGGTAAACGTATTGAGCGTCAATTTTTTTGGTTTTCTTGATCATTTTCTTCGTGTGGACAAAATTCGAGAAATATCATGTCAAAATGGCTCACAAAAACATAAAAATATTCGTTGAACAAATGTTCACAAAATTGAATTTCACCACACGGCAACAATTGTTTATATGTGTGTATATGAGAACAAGCAATACACAACCTTCCACAGAAAAGTTTCCCATACAAATTATATGAAAATATATCACGGGCACTGATTGCCCCAAACACGAAATATATTTGAAAATATTTTGGGAAGCTACTAGGGGAAGCATTCATTGCCTGTTTTTGATGTTTTTTTATCAACAAAGAAAATGTCTCTTTTCTTTTATTATTGTTGTTTCACTTATGATGAATTTACCATTTTGGGCTCACCAGTCAGTTTTTGACTTTTGTAGTGAAATAGGTGTATGAAAAAGATATTTTATAAAATATGTGACTGATCGCAATAGTAATCCTCTCTCTACCTGAAGTTGAATGAGAAAAAGGACATTTGCTGGGGTGTTACTCACACTCATGAGCTTACACAGTCATTAGTACAGATAATTTGTATTTGTAATTAACATTTCTGGGAATTTTCCCATCTCGTTAGACTTAGGTATATAAAGGTAGTTTTGAAATGAGTTGACGTCAGTTGCATTTTTCTGCGAAAAGAATCATTTCAAAAGAATTAAACAAGTTTTATACATTAAAAAGTGGTAAAAATTAAAATGAATACGTTGATCAAAAAATTCAAGCAAGAGCCGGACGAATTTGAAATTATATACAGATATCCAGAGAAAGAAAACATAGATGGACCCTTCGTCCAGTCCGTCAATATTGATGACTACATTCGATCAATTCGTGGCGAAGACTATATTGAACCGAAAATTGAATCTGATGTCAAACCGAAACTAGAACCAGGTATAAATTTAAATGAAGAAAGCATCGAATCGGTGCCAACAAAATCAACACAGTCACCCATTAAGGAGAAAGTTCACACTAGATATGAGTGCTACAAATGTCATTTGAGCGTATCGAGTCTTGAAAATCTGAAAATACATCGATGCTTCATTGAACTTCAGTGTGATGTTTGTGCGAAGAAATTTACCGATAAACAAAAGTTATACAGTCATAAAAAATGGCACACTCGCAGTGCAATCAAACAACGTCACGAATGTAATTTATGTAAAAAAACGTTTACAGCTATAAGTAGTTTGAATAGTCATATTGCTAATGTTCATGACGGACAGCGACCATTTGAGTGTAAAATATGTAAAAAGAGATGTGCCAAAAAGGTAGATTTGAAAAAGCACGAATTATCGCACACTGGAGAAAAACCACATCAGTGTGATGTTTGTAATATGAAATTCTCTCTATTCGAAAATATGAAACGTCATAAACGTGGTCACATCGAAAGGCCTTACCATTGTGATTTTTGTCCAAAGCGATTTCCGGAAAAAATAAGCCTAGATATTCACAGAAGGGTTCACACCAGAGAAAAAATATTTCAGTGTTACGATTGTAAAAAGACATTTTTAGAAAATGGTCAGTTAAAGGCACATCTTAAAATTCACTCCAAATCAAAATCATATTCATGCTCTTTATGTAAAGAAAGATTTTCAGAATTGTCTGATTTGAAATTACATAAAACATCCCATGAAAGGTCATATGAGTGCAACTTATGCAAAAAAAGATTTTTTACTAAAATCGAATTAAGTAGGCATCAGAAGACTCATAGCTCTCAACGATTATACGAATGTGCAGAATGTGGACAGAAATTTAAAACATCAGGAGCATTGAGACGTCATGTAAAATGCCACAGTGGAGAAAAATTATTCAAATGTGATTTATGCTCTTCTAAATTTTTAAGGAGCGATAGTTTGAAAGATCATAGAAAACGCCATACTGCTGATCGACAATTCGGATGTGATCTTTGCTCGAAGAGGTTTTTTGATAACAAAGGCTTACAACGACATAAGCTCAGTCACACAAAGGAAAAACCATATAAATGTCAATTTTGCAAGAAGAAATTCTCCGCACAATTTTGCTGCATTCTTCATACTCGCGGCAAGCATTTCGATTTACTTCGACAACAAGACAAATTGAGTGGAACATTGAATGTGCTATTTCAAGGTATGAGGACATATGAATGTTATAAATGCCAATTCACATCCCTTCTCTGCTATGTGAAAAAACACATGAAGACTTGTGCTTTTGGTGAAAAGAAACCATTACGAAAAAATTCAAGTACAAAAAAAAAAACATTAAGAAACATGGAACCAATAAACAAATTTCAAAGTAAGGAGATCCAATGTTAAAGCTTATGTTCAAACTACTGAAAATTGTTCCTTATACAAAAACAGAAATAAATAATTTGTTTTTTTTGGAGAAATCATAAATGTCTGCAAATTAACGAAGAAGAGATATAAAAAAATTGACGAAAAAAATGTGTGCCAACGACACATGGTGTTCCCAGACGGTCACCCATTCAAGTACTAACCATGCTCAATGCAGCTTAACTTCAGTGATCGGACGAGAACTGGTGCTTTTTACATGATATGGTCGTTGACAATAGTAAATAGATTCTTTGTAAATCTGAATTATGTTTTGCTCTGTCAAATCGATGAATACTAATAAAACAAATGTAAACAAATGATTTCAAGTATTGGTTTAATTTTTCATCTGACCATTTTTTTTAAATATTAGGGATGAGATTTGAATCTTTTTGGACTTTTTTTTATTCAAAAAATACATCGAAATGTACATAGAAAAACGCACGAATCTGCCGTATATATTTTTTCAAGTGCTCTTGTATTATAACTATTTTTCAAAACCTCTATCAAGTCCATTCTTTTTGCAAAAAGAGCGAAATGTCACCGAATTTTTTATTCCAAGGGATACTTACTTAACAAAATGATCAAGTTGTGCAGTTCATAAGTTTTGGAAGTTTTTCTGCTTGTGGCAGATAACTGTAAATGCTTACTTACTTGAAAAATGTACAGCATTCAGACAATAAAACCTGTGTCATCTACACACAGTTTCTTCTTCTTCTTTTTTTCATGTAGCGATTAATTATTGTCCAAAATTAATTAAATAGTTTCAAGGAAAACACAAAGACAAGTGTATGCAGGTTTTCGTGAGTCACGGAAGTAGCATTTTCTGTTCAAGGGAACTGCAGATGTCTGCGCTATTGTGTGAGAATTTTCAACAAATACCATTGTTGTGTGTGTGTGCACACTGCACAATGTAAAGAATGGTTGAAGTTGCACACAAAAGCAAAATTATATAACCGGAATATTTGAAGACAAAAATAAAAGTTTTACAGCTCAAATAAAGTTGGAGATTTGTATGTGTAGTATAATTTACCAGTTGCATTTCATAGCAATTAATAGTGTTCCCAAATCGCTGTAGTCGCTTATGATGTTTCGCCTTTAAGGCGAACATTTCTCAATGGGCAAAATTTTGCATTAATGACAGAATAATAGATAATAATGTTTCACAATTTCCGTTCTTGGAAAATTCGTTCAGTCGATGGCGGAAACTTCCGCGACACAACTTTTGCAGAGAGAGAGTCGCATGCAAAAGTTAAGCGACACACTGAGAGAGCGTGAGAGTGAAAGCGAAAAGAAGAGAGAGAGAGAGAGAGGCAGATAAATAGAATAACAGACACACTCAGCAAGAAGGCAAGCTGCCGACGAAGAATGATTTGGGTTTTGTTTGTGGGTCTGATTGTGTTCTCGGTAGTGCTTATGAATTCCATGCTCCCATTTGTTGTTTGACACAAAACAATTTTCGGTTTTCATTTCGTCGGTTGCAGTGCCATAAACATTTTTTTCCCTTCTCTCACTCTTGTATTAATGACTAAAAACGCATCACAACAACTCCAAGTGTTTTCGTGCTTTTGAAGCAAAACCATGTTTTCAATCGAGTCAAATTTATTTTGTTGACATAACACAATAACACGTTCCCCTTTGGGAGCGACGAGAATCGGTTTGGGCGACAACAACAATATTATCCAAACTATGAGATAAGACAACATTGTGCTCGAAAAGTTAAACAACACACAAAAATTGAAGACAGAGACAAAGAGAGAGAGAGAGAAAAAGAAGTGGATGCTGATTTCACAACATTCACAACTAATCTCAAACCACCAAAAACAAATCTTAACACGAAGACAAAAGCTTGAAAACTATATTCGTAACAGTCACAACGAACGATGCCAAACATTTTAACGCGTACTCTCTCACATTCACTCATAAGTAAGAGGACGAAAACGTGCCGATTTTTATCGCAATGCACATTCGTACGATCGTCGTTCTGTTGGGAATCGAATTAAATATAACGTGCATCGCTACACATACACACACGGTCGAATGTGATATAAACGAAAGGACATACACAAATTGAATGCATTTCGATTTTGGCTAGTTTTCCAAAAAGCAACCAACTGATTTTCAACTATGAATTGTTTTCAAATGTCATTCGTGCCACGGTGCAACGACAATCCATATTAAAGAACGTGAATAAAAACGAATACCCAAATTGAACCACTGTTGGTCGTTCGAATTCATTTTCGTATGTTGCATAATAAACCGAATGCTTGTTCCTTTTTCATGAGTGACTGTGTCAATATTGGTTTCTTCCAACAATTCCACATTTCAACGAAACAATACAAACGAAAAAATAAAACTTTTCATCGATGAGCACTTTTTTGAGTCATCGGTTGTGTGTGTTTTGTCAAAATCAACGTCTGAGATAACATGTATCCCAAAAGTAATTCGCCAAGCGAACAAAGACAACCGAAACTATTGTTTTTTTAACGCTTTCTACTCAAATTGATCGTGGTTCGAACGTGAGAAACAACACAAAACTTTGTTAATATTGAACTTTTCCTCTGAATCATCCAAAAACCAAACATTGATTTTCATAGACCACATTTTTTTCTCTCAACTTTCTTCAATTTGAAATCATTTAATCTTCTTTTCTTAAAACAACGAAAGTCATACAATTCATTGATTTGATAGAATCTGAAGCAAAATAGATTGTTCGCCAACTGTTTGTTGAACAAAACTCCATTGAAATAGAACGACTTCTCTTGCTGTCTTTCTCGATACAACACACCTTATCATTGAAAGTAGTTATTTCTAACGAGATATACATTTATATCTACGTTTCATTTTAAATGACCCAAATCCGCATTTATCATTTAAACCAAATCAGCCAACTTCTTTTTGTTCCATTCAAGTGGATTACATACCATAAGTTCTTCTTTTTTTTTCATCTCTTATTCTTTTCAATTTCTGTTGAATTTAAACGTTTAAAGTTTTGGTGGAACGAAAATCAGATATCAATTCTCGTGGAAAATAGAAATGGTGAATTGCAATACCTAACAAGCGCCACTTGCTTCATTTCACAGCTCTTGGCGACACCCAATCTTTTATTATGTTAACGCATATCGAACTTTTGAACGACAGCTATGGCATACCACCATTCATCTGCGTCGAAATTTAAAACTTTTTGATTCGAAAGTCGCTTTTTGCGCTTGTTTTGATTTGAACGATATAGTTTTCAGAAAGTCGCACGAAAACCGAATGCTTGGAATTATTATACCTGATTATATAGAATTTGATTTTAGTTTTTAACTTTATTTTCATTCTGTTTTCCAAACAAATCAAAAACTCAACGAATTCGATTTAACCGAATTCGGTTTAACAGAACGTTAAATTGATTGCGTGGTCGCGATCTTAATGTTCACAAATTCATAGAATTTTTATGTGGTTTTTGTAATTGACTTATATTTTACAATGAGAATTTTGAGTTAAAAGGAATTGAGTGAAAATGAGGTTATCATATATTTCATGACAGTGATTTGGATTTGAAATTGATCATTTTGCAATATGGAAGATTTTTTCACAAAAATATACAACAATAGATTAAGATTAAAATAGGCACTAAACATTTAATTTATATCATCGAAATGTCCATCAATCAAAGACTCTGTGCGTTCTCCGCAAAATTCAAAAAGAACTTTGATGCCATATCCACGTTGTGATTGTACTTTAATCCAAATCCGTTTTTTACCCATTTCACCATCGACAATCGTGACATTTGACTGAACCGATTCGTAATCAGAATATTTAATGCCTTTGATAACAAAATTGGGTTCATTTATTCCCTAAAATAACAAATTATTATTCTATTTTCAATATTATTTTTTGGTATGATTGTGTTTTCTTGACTACTCACCATTGGATATTTAATCACTTTGGTTCTAATGGTATTTTTATAGGCCTTCTCATACGCTCGACTTCGACCGATTAGTGGAAAATTTGTACAATCGCCAAATGTCGTAACGTATTCAGCACTTGAATAAACAACACACAGAATAGCGAGAAGAATTACAACTTTCATACTGACTTCGGGACTGACAAATGTGAAGTAAAACGCTTGTTTTTATGTTGATGTTTACTGCGTTTTTTTATCGTGAATCGAACACTTAAGTTAATCAATCAGATAAAAGCTGATTTATTACGCAGAATTTGAAGCAAATCCATTGTAGGCTTATAATACGTTACTTTGACTTTATTTATTTCAAACATTCGTTATCACACCAATACTTACCTATATTCGGCTATGACCAACATTGTGAAGCAAATTTGAAAAATGAACTAAAATGTACTTACATGACTTCATAACCTCATCGTGTTTGTGATTATATCCTTTTTCCAATTGAAATACATTTGTATTGCTGCAACATCAATATATTTATATGGTTTCAAAATCAGAATACAATAAAGTCAATAGCATTTTTGATACAAATCAACGATTAATACAGGGAAGAATACGGGTTTTTTAGTTGACTGATGTTGGTCCCCTCAAAGTTTGACCGTACTGATTAACACAAGCCACTTATCAGTTATGGTGCTATCCAAACTCATTTATTGTTTACATCAAAAGAACGTATCATTGTTGTTCCTTTGAATTTAATTTTTTCCCATATCTTTGTGATCACACTTTTTGTAAGGATTAAAATGCATATTTCTGATGAAAAACATGAAAATTACATCATGCTTGAGTGTAATACTAAAATCAACGTCAAATCTAATGTTTTGCAGTAGTTCATTATCACTTGATGCAATGAGATATATTGTTCGAAAAATGTCGAATATGATTAGTTTATTTTGGGTGAAATCAATACATAAATTGAGCAGGAGTGTTTGCAGAAAATGTCTATCGATTCAAAGGCAAATTTGCACCGAACACATTGAAATAAATAAATAACCGGTAATTTTTTATTTGCAGCCGCACATTTTTTCAGCTGGTCCCTGCATCCATATACGAAATTCACGTTGTTTTCAGAAAATCCGGTACTTTGAGCTATATAATAAGAAAAATAAGAGTAAATTCGATTTGATGTAAGATGCAAATGCACAATAATAAGACAGCTTTGAAGCAAATAGTGAACATACCAGAATCCTTTGTGTTATGATTCGAAACCATTATTTGTTCATTGACCCAAATAACTCCTACTGGTTGATTTGAATCTGTAAATGGGATCGTCGCTTTCATTTTGCAGTAAAGAAAGGTATCAATTCCACATACCTTTGTTGGATCGCATTTTCTCTGTATGATCCCCAACAAATTTGACAAAGTGATTTTGGTATGAATCTGGCGTTGATGTTGTAAGGTTATTTTTCGGTGTAAATGAGCTCGATGGACCCAATACTGGAGAATGATCATAGTCTATTGTTTTCATTCTTTTTTGAAAAACACAATCAATATATGAATTTTCATTTGTTTCCTTTGGACAATTGATACCTCCATCACAACGTGTTGATTGCAATTTTTTGTACTGGAATTGTTGAGTCACGATAGATGCGACATTTGACAAGCATTTTTGCTGACGACATTTTTTGTTTGTTGTCGTCGTTTTCACGTATTTCCTATTGGCATCAGTGCTCTGAACCGATGATGATGTGAATTTCGATGAATCGATTTCATATTTGATGAAGCAATCAAATTTGGATGTTTCGTTTAATTTTATATCGAACAAATTAAATAACGAATCCGAATTAAAAGAAAACTCAACGATATTAGGAAAAACAATTTATGGAATCTCACAAACATTTATATTGAATATCACTTGAGAATTCCACTAAGAAGTATTTATGCGCTGTTTATAAAATGCGTATCGTTAGTTTGAATATTTTCTTAAGACTGAGCTCATAGGCATCCATTGCACTCATCTAAATAGGTTTTTCGCTTGTGTGATTTTGTGAATTAAAAATAATCTATATCTGGGAATACATGACGCAATTTGCTGATGGAAAAATTGCATTTGCTACATCAAAAGCAAAACTAATTTCCGATTATAAAAAAAAGTGTTTTTGTTTCTCTGATATTGACAACGCTTTGCTATTGAGCGAAGAATGCAATCTTGGCTTGACTTTTATTTTAACAAGGAATCCCCTTGACTCATAATCAGAGTTACTTTGCAACAACAAAAAAAATGAAAAAGTGCACTTACGTCGTGATGCCATAAAAATCTCGACTACATTAAATGTCATGTTTTGTGGATGATGAAATGGTAATTTAAATACTCGTCTTAAATAAATATGTTAATTTACTTGAAAGGACCGGTGTTCACATTGAAAGGCATTGTATTGAAAATTACATCAAATACTCAGTGTTTAATTTCTCAAATTTTTCAACCATCGAATCAGTTGCATCAATTTTGCTTCTTTTTGGCAAGACAAAATCAAAATCGGAATGTCTCATATCAACATTTTCACATCGCTTCGGCTCAACTTCGGGAGATCCAATTTCTTCGTCACACTCTAATATTGGAGAAAGAAAATCGCCTAAAATTTGATCTTCTTCGACCATATTTTGAATTTTCATAATGCGGTGGACGTCAGGAACTGGTTTTTTAATTCTTCTGGAGTAACCAATATCCGCAGTGTTTTGCACGTCATTTGATCGTGAAGTGGCATCGACTTCTCCGACAATCAAATTTTCTAAATCTAATTTGGTTCGATCGGTTTGCGTGCCGACCGAAAAATACCGCGAATTGTTCCGATGACACTCCTTATGATTGCAATTATGATATAAAATGCGATACGAACTTGATGGTCCATATTCGTTCGATTTATCACTTTTGTACTTCTGGTTTTCACTCATTTTTTTATGCACAAAAGGAACTACCACAGCACTGGAAAAATGTGCTCACAATTTTTGCACGCACCCTATTCGTTCGAATATTCATTTAAGACTAAGAGATGATGCTCGCGCTACATTTAGCGTTTGATGCATCTCAGATTTATTTTTACCTACCTTATGATGGCTTTGCAACGTAATGGATTCGTATAGGTAAAGTAATTTCCGGTCATATGATATCAATACTGCTTTGAATATGAAGGAGGAAAAAAATAAGTTCATTACACGACAAATGGAGAAGGTTTCATGCAACTTTATGTAAAAATGCGGAATTTTTGCGTTATTTTTAAACCTTTTAATGAATACACAAGATTTAGTGATTTTGTTATTGTAATTCCATTTACAACAATAGCTCTTTTTTAAACGAATTAAAATAAAACACTGACATTTATTTTAATATAATAATGAAATATTTTTTTTATCAACGTATAAAATTAAAAAAAAAATGATAATTTTCAAATAAAAAAATAATTTGAAAACTCAAATAGAAAAAAAATAATAAAAAAAAAAATTTCGCCCCCGGGTGGGCTTGAACCACCAACCTTTCGGTGCCTGTCATACTATTTTTATTAACAGCCGAACGCGCTAACCAATTGCGCCACGGAGGCTACATATTTCAATACGCTGAACAAAAATTACAGCCAAAACTATTCATAGACTCACAATGATCACACGTACACATTTATACACACTTATCATCAGCATTACTTTACAAGCATGAATGAGATAGGAAGAAAAAATCTGAATGACAAATAAATTGCTTGTTATCACTTTTCGTTTCTATAATTTTGTTGTTGTTTTTTGTAATTCTCATTTTTGGTTCACGAAAATTATGTTTTTTTATAAAACCTTCAAATAAATTCGAAGAAATATCGATTTGTGATTAAATTGAAGGCATTGCAAATGGTCAAATCGAAATAAATGAAATGTCATCAATAATTCATAATAATAAAATTCAACAAAAATAATATTTTAATACCACATTCTATTTAGAGCGGTTTATATCGATTCGATTCATACAAACTATTTGAAAATGATTATAGACTATTTGAAAATGAATGAGAAACAAATAAAAGGTGTAGCAATTTATTTTGGCTCTACTTATCTACTTCTTGGAACTCGATTTGGAAGTGTATTTGAATCTATTATTCTGCATAAAAAGGTGGTTAGCCAAACGATATATAATTCAAATGTCGCTCCGATTGAATATTCGATATTTGTGATTAAATAATTTGTGCTGGTTTTTTGTACCATAGTCAATTATTATACTAGATAATTAAAAAAAGTCATATTTTGAGCCGATAGCTGATCAGCGGCACGGCCGTTTCAATCATCGAACATTGATATTTCAATGCTGTCATATGTATGCGCTGTAAACATTTTGGTTTAATTTTTGAATTGTTCGCCGAAAATGACAATAATCGATTTTTTTTTGAATCCGAAACATGAACAGAATTTAGGTTAAATATTAGATAGGAATGTTTTATATCTATTTCTCTCTATGTAGTATAACAAATTTCAATGCAAAATTTAAGGCATTGTATCAATTTGAAATGCAAGAAATGGTTCTGGCCATTCATATGACACATATCTGAATTGAATTCTTGGATCAATAATTTAACTAAAAATAATGTTACTTATTTGGCATCCATTCCGGAATGAAATGGATGTACGTTGAAGTATTTTTGGCTTATAGAAATATATTAGATACTAGATATATATGCTGTTTGTATGATATTTCATAGTATGATGTTGATTATAATTCTTTGCCTTTATTTTTCGCATTGAAGTTGATCATTAACATACATTTTTTGCTACAACTTGGATATAACGAGTGATAATAATATTGTCCATTGATTCAACGAATCATTACGAAGTGCACGTGTCAGATTAGCCGTGAACGGAGACTTGTCACCGAGAATCTCGGCCCGAGATGTTCGATCAAATATTGAATTTAAGATCTGAGTCTTTCGAGCAAGCAGCTGTACATTCGACAAATTTTTCGATTTATTCAAGGGGGTCAAATCGGATAACTCCCGGTATGTTAAATTTTGTTCATTTTTTATAAATTTTTTGGTTTTTTTTTAATGTCGTTTTGTGGAATTGTTGATTCCATTTTTCGGGTCTTTAATGACGAATTTCGTTTTATCCGTGTTTGCAGTATTTGAACTATTCACCGCACAAATGTTAACTATTTTACGATAATATTGCTAAATATTGAAGCCTTTTCAGTTTTGATATATACTATGTACTCCGTAATAACAATAAGATATGAATGTGTTTAGATTGTTATGATATAGAGGCACTTTCAATCTAACTCATCAAAGATCTATTGAGTAAGAGCATTTTCCCATTTTCGCATTGATATAGTTTAATTTCCTTGAAATTCATTCATCTTGGAGTTCATTCCTGCATTTTGTTCAACATTGAATAGCAAAAATTTCACGAAGGAAATTGGGTCATTTCGGCCGAACTCGGTTCATGAGCTCATTACATTAAAACTAGCAAAACATTTGTATGCACAACTTACCGACATGGTGAATTTGCCATTGGCCAAACTTGAAAGTGCAAATACTTATCTTCGATCACAGATACTTTGCCCCTTCAATACGAACAAGAGCACTTAAGAAAATACATAGATTTGTAAATTCCATCAAAAAACGCAGGACTATCGATTTCTGCCTTGACGTTTCCGGCTGTTTTTTTGGGGTGACCCAGAATGCCGTAGCTAACAAGTTTGACACTTATCATTTTCCTGATTCTTTTTAATTCGATTAAAATTGCATTTATTTTCTTTGGTTTTTCCTTTCTTCTTCATTTCTTGCATAATTTTAATATTTGACACACTATTTAAATTGGGAATTGTTGGAAAAAGCGACTTTCTTCGGTCGCATAGATTTTACAAACCAAATCATTGCATTTATATAGTTTACAAATTCAATTCGTTTTGAATAACTTAAGGATTTTCTTTCTTCAATAAATAATTTAGTTTGTTTTTTCACGTTTTCATGATATTTTTTCATTTTTAGGGGTTGTGCCATATGATAACAATCACATTTATTCATTCGATGATGATTTTTCGATAAATTTGGATTTTATTCGCGCAAAATATAATTCGAAAATATAAATATCATTGAAATCGTATAAATAAATCATTTATATTGTCAATGGTATATCAGTGGGCAATTTTCTATTTTAAATAAAATATAGAAATGAGTCGAATGGGTGGGTGATTTATACCATGCAGAGCAAAAAAAGAGTTTTCAGCAGTAAGACGAACTTTTTCGCCCGATGGTTCATATTCATTAGGCGAGTTTAAAAAAATTTGTTTGATTTTTTAAGCATCTCAAGCGGATTCAATCATAAAGCCCGATGATAAAAATATATTCTGCATGGAAATATTCTTAAATTGAATGCAATAAATGTATGTTTGTTGTAAGTTGGTCATACGATTGCTTTGCACATTTTTGCAGCAATAAAATTGATC